TTCTGCCCATAAAACGGAACGGGATAGAAAAACACGAGTTTAAACAATAAAAACCATCAATTAATATATATAAATTCCACATTTTAAGAGGATTTATGCCGTTATAATCCTCATGTAAAATCTGGTATAGTTGTATGTATATTGGATATAAACTTAACTAGAATAATGTCATTTACAAAACTAGATGGGCCAATTATGACTTGGAACCTAAATGATATTTGGATCCTTCATATATTAATTAGATATATTGTATCTAATTCGACCCCTGTTCGTCGCCAATCTAACAATCAGTTGATGGATTATTCAAATGAATACAATTCAGGAATATTTCAATTAAAAACAATTAAATATTTGACTGGTCAATGAATAGTTTTTAGTGTTATAAACAATAAAAAAAATCCATCAAATTTTTGAATATTTTTAAAGAAAGTAATCGAATGACTTTGCTATTTTTAGTAACACGCTATTACTAAGAAGTGTTGGAAGAGAAATGCCTCCAGCATTGAATTTTCATTTCCCTCCCCCTAGAAAATAAACTTGAAAAATCTAAGAAAAAAAAAATATATATATATATTTTTTAAATTCTTTATTTTCAATAAATATTTATAAGATAAATGCTTAAATTCGAAATAAACTGTTTATATCTAAAGAAAAAACTGTGCCATGCCCCCTTTTTTTTGTTGAAAATTGACGTTTTATTTCCATAAATGGGTTCATTCAAATGGTTTCAATTGAATTTATGTATGCTCTTCTCGTCACGTTTATGCTAAATTTTGTGATGGAGATGTTAAAATTAATTGGGAATGAAAATAACTGCAAAATTAGGCTTTAAATGAACTATAACATTAGGCTTATGCTTTATTTTATAATGTGAATTTCTCATACAAATTCTTCAGTTGTTCTTATCGTTATCCATTTTATAAAAATTCATTTCTGCCCAATTTTTACAGTTATTGTAGCCTAATTTTATAATTATTTTAGCTCATTTTATAATATTATTTGCCTAATTTTTTTATTTTTCAAGCCCAACTTTTAATATCTTTCTAACCCAATTTTACAGTTACTTTAGCCTAATTTTATATTATTTCCCACTTAATTTTTAAGCTTTCAAGCTTAATTTTTAATATTTTTCTAACCCAAGTTTGCAATTATTTTAGCTTAATTTTCCAGCTGCTCTTACCCAATACTGTATAAAGTTTTTACAGCCCAATTTTTCGGCAATTCTAGCCCAATTTTGTAACGTTAATTTCTGTAGACGTTAATTCGGATAATTGAAATGATAATTTATGCATTTATAATTACCCAATGTATGCACTAATGTAATATAATGTGCAGTCACTAATGTTTAATACAAAGTAGTAGCATAAAAAAGATAAGATGGAGTCATTAACTGGATAATTTTATAATGCAGATAGAAATTAGAAAGATGACTTTTAAAAGAATAAACAAGTTTTGATTATTATTTGTTCGTGAAAGTGTCGTTTCTCATTTGGTAAATTAACAATTTCTTCAAAGATTTTCCTTTGCCTTCTTCCCTAATCAACTTACTATCAAATAAATGACGCTTCTATAAAGTCTTTTTTTTTTCTGTAATTATGACTCAAATTTCCTCATTTTCTCTTCTGTTTTTATTTAATTATTTTCTTCTGCTAATTTAAATCAATGGTTCTTTAAAGTTTCTAAAGTAATGATGACTTTTTACTACTTTAGAAGCTGTTACTGTCGTTTTCTGAGGTGCTTCTTTAATCAGAACACTACAACAATCTTCTAAAGTACTAAAGAGCAGTCTTCTGAGGTACTTGTTCAATCTTGGAACACTGCAACAATCTTCTAAAGTACTAAAGAGCAGTCTATCTTGGAACACTGCAACAATCTTCTAAAGTACTAAAGAGCAGTCTCTGAGGTGCTTCTTCAATCTTGGAACACTGCAACAATCTTCTAAAGTACTAAAGAGCAGTCTTCTGTGGTGCTTCTTCAATTTTGGAACTAAGAACAATAAAGAAATGGCCATTGTTTGCAGGTTATTAATGTATGCATTTAATAAAGAAATGGCCGTTGTTTGCAGGTTATTAATGTATGCATTTAATAAAGAAATGGCCGTTGTTTGCAGGTTATTAATGNTCTGTGGTGCTTCTTCAATTTTGGAACTAAGAACAATAAAGAAATGGCCATTGTTTGCAGGTTATTAATGTATGCATTTAATAAAGAAATGGCCGTTGTTTGCAGGTTATTAATGTATGCATTTAATAAAGAAATGGCCGTTGTTTGCAGGTTATTAATGCAAACATTATTGCATTTCAAAAGGAAGCATTCCCGAAAAAATGGCCGCCGTTTAGATGTGGTCGTTGTAAGGAGGTAGTCATTATAGAAGGTTCGACTTATACGAAAATTTTAAGGAAAAAAAACAAAAAAACAATAAAAAAGTTAAAAGCGAAAGTTGATTTTTAGTTTAAAAAATTCAAAAGAGGAATTACAGCAAAAAACAGGAAACTTTGAGACAAAAATCAATGAATAAATAAAAAATTTTGATTCGAAAATTAGAAAATGAAAGCAAATTCGAAAGAAAAGTTAGCAAATAAAAATAAAAATTTAAAAAAAAAAATATTTCGTCCATTGATTTTCGAGACTTGTTTTCTAAGTTGTTTGAAAATTTTTCTTAAGAACTTGACATGGTTCGGTCTGGAGCGTCGTTTAATTTCGTTTTCACTTAAGTAGATTTTGAGAAAACTTTTCTTTCTCCATAGACAAGCGTTGCGAGTAAGAGATGTTGTTAGTGTGACGTTCTTCGTAAAGGCGGAGAGATTCGACCAGTCTTAGAATATTTCACGATTTTAAAAGAACAAGTTGACACTCTTATTCCATTTTCAGACTGAAGAAAATGTTAGAAGATCGACGGTTTCAGACAGTAAGTAAGAGGTCGTCAGTTCTACACGTCATGAGGATGATCCGCTGAGACCATTAGAGTGCATTACGATCTATTGTTGCCCATGCATTTTTTTCCTTCTGTTCTGAGCTTTCTTGTTTCTCAACTTCACCACAGTTCCGGTAATTTCTTTTTAAAACGGATTAGTTGGCTTTCTGTAATAAAATTCTGCACGGGAACGTAAATCCTATTCTACTTTTTAATATTCATCCTTATTTACAACGTCTTTTATAAGAGGTTAAATGGGGATTCATATAAAAATTTACATAACCGTAGCTACTACATAATATATATATATATATATTTTTTTTTTATTTGTGATTTTATTATTATAAAGGCGCTATATGTATATACACTTATGAAATTTAGCAGCAAGGATTCCTCATCTTAGGCTATTGTAGAGATGGATCATAGCTTCAATTCAGAGTAGACTGTCTACAGCATTACGGGAAGTACAGTATAATTTGAAAAGAATCGATCTGATTATGAAAATCAAATTACTCCTCTGATCAGTTACAGTTCTGTTGAAGGACGTTCAGGAAAATCAATATCACATACTAAGAGATTATATCTTTTTACATTCGTGATTATTCTTGAATTTCTCTCAAAATTAAGACTTAAAAAATAAAAGAAAAATATTAGAATGTGTGTGAAAAAGTCAAAACTAGTCAAGATTAAACTTTAATTCAAGAACGAAGAATAAACGAACAAATTTTAATAAAATTTAACTAAGAAAAAGTTATGATTTTGTTCAAGATTAAACGAGACTACATTAAGAAAATAAACGTAATTAAAAAATAAAATAAAACAAATTTTAAATTTTTAAATAAACCTTTCTGAAAAGTTAATCTAACCAAAAAACGAAAAAAAAAATATATTAATAATTAAATTTGATTATAAAATTTCTCACATATTCTTTTTGAAACTATTCCACTTCATAAATTGAGATGTTTCCTTCCAATAGAGTGATTTCCGAATTACCGCATTTCTATTTGTCTTTCATTATTTACTTTCTTGTCTCAGCCGTAGCTTCGGTTCCAGTAAGAGAATTAGTACAAGTCTTACTTGATGCGTGTCAGGAAAGGCGTACTCAAATTACATAGACCTGAGCACAGACAATGTCCAACTATCCTTCGGTCGTTCGTTTACTGTCAGGCCATTCGATGACATTATCACAATCCAACCATCACAACATTAACGTTCCTGACGCATTTTGTAGATTTAATTCTGTTCGTGACCGTTCCACTACCTGTACCAATGTTTTTTGCTTGTTTTTTTTACCGTCAATTCCCTGGAGGAAGATAAATAAAAATCATTATGGCATTCTTTACTTCTATTGCTTTCTCTCTCTCTCTCTTTTACTCTTTTATATCAATTTTATCTTCCATTCAAAGCTACAAACCCGAAATTATTAATAGAATTATTTAAATTTATCATTTGCCTCAGACCATCGTCTCTTTTATTCTCTTTGGTATAAAGCTACTACTCATCTGCATATCAGTTTATCGCCTTAAGTGGATTTCTCTCAAATGGTAGTTTCATTTAAAATTTTAATGCGTACTGATTGAGTGCTGAAGGTGCTCAATTGGTCTTTAGTTTCCTTTGAAAGTTGGGACAAATTTTAAATCGCGATAAGAGCCCGAATATTATTAATATTTTGCTATCTTTTATAATTATTTAAATACATTATCGACGGTTCTAAGTAAATAATTTTACTTCTTTTTTTTTTTGGTAATATTTTCTATTCTCATTTTCTGTTGTTGTTGAAGCTCTTTCTCTTCTCTTCTATTTTNATACAAGTCGCATTAGGATTATGGGATATATCTATAAATCAAATTTTTAAAAAAAATAAATAAATAAATAAAAATTATAAAATTATTAAAAGATTTAAGCTCGAAAAAACTTCTTTTAAAATAATTAACGTTAATAATATAATTGACAAATTAGATAGAAGTATCATTTAAGATCAACCGGCAGGCGATTGAGTCATTTCGGTTTCCACTTCCCGCCACTAGAGGCGCCGCTATCTTAGCCGTGCGCCGTTCGGCCGCCGACCCTTATTGATCGAACGCTATCTGTAAGGTTAACTTCGTACAGCTGGCAACTGAGCGATCCGTTCTCCTACAGAAAATTACACCCAGCATCTATCAGGATACGTGCAAAATGTCCGTCGGGATAAAATACATTCCTGGGATTCTACGGATAAGAAAAATGCAGCGATGAAACAGCGGAGGAGGAGGCCGTGGTCATAAAAAAAACACAAAAAAAAAAAAATATTGTCAAAAATATGAGCGATGATTGTTGCCTTAGGTACGGATAGGTGTGAACCTCCACAACATGAGGCGCATGTAAAAAGACATGGAGAGGCGTGTCTCCAAGCGTAGTGTACCAAATACTTTAGCTCTTCTAACGCTAACGTGCTCTCTCCTACTGTCCTACAGCTGGTACATCTATTTTTGCTGTAACGCACCTTTAGAATCTTCCAAGCCTCCTCAAGATCCTTCGAAGCATCGCAAGATGCCGACCAAACACGCCGATTATGTTATCCGTAGTTGGCTTCCGAGAAGAATTAAAGAAAGGATCGAAGCAAACAGCTTAGAAGAAAATGATAGGAAGGTTATTAACAGAACTTATTCGGCATCCGGTTATCCTTTAAGGAAACTTCCTCAAGCTTTAATTATTGGTGTTAAGAAGTGCGGTACTCGAGCCCTTTTGGAATTCTTACGTTTGCATCCTGACGTAAGAGCGCCCGGTCCTGAAATTCATTTCTTTGATAGGTATTATCGCCGTGGGATGGAATGGTACAGGTAAATGTCGTATTTTTACTGTGATTTTACAAGTTTTTTCCCTGTGTTCACGGCTTAAACTTTATCATTTTACGTGTTCTTCCTACTTGTCATAAGCTTTATTTTTTTACCATTTATCGTCTTATAAGCCTCGATCTTTTTCATTTTACACGTCTTTTAAGTGTTACTATCTTTACCACGTTACATATTACGCTCAATCTTTACTATTTTTGCGTCAATTTTTCGTGTTATAAGCCTCGATCTTTATCATTTTACACGTCTTTTAAGTGTTACTATCTTTACCACGTTACATATTACGCTCAATCTTTACTATTTTTGCGTATTTTNTACTTTAAAATGGAGTTTTATAGTAAAAAAAAATGCAAGAAATAAATAAAGTTAATTAATTAATGAATAATAATTATTAATTTTTAAACATTTATAAAGTTTTTACACACATTTTTACTGCCAAATAACTGTAAAAATGATCTAAATTCAGCAAGTTAGATTGCTGTGCTGTACTAAATTTAGATACCTTATTCAGATTTTTATAGTAAAACATTAAAAAATAAGTAAAATTAATTAATTATCTTGTATAAAAACAATTTTAAAATAAAATTAACTGACTTATTTCCTAAAATTTTCAATTAATTTATCAATTTTTCAACATTTAAATCAATTTTTTTTTTAATGAATTTCCTATCTTATTCTGCTATATAAAATAATTGTATAACATCAATATTTTATGTTTTTATAATTAAAAATTGATCCTGAAGTTTAAAAATACTTTTTAAGCAAATATTTAATCTCCTTTAAGAATAATCAATTAGAAAAAATAAATAAATATAATTATTTTCTTGTAAAATAAAGCAAAGAAATACCTAATTTTTAATAAATAGCAATAAAAATGACTTTTTAAACTGAAATGATTATAATAGTTACTGTTACAGACACTTTACAGACTTAATTTCTGATAAATAGGCAATAAAATTGTGAAATGCCTATAATAGGTACTGTTATAGGCACATTACAAGCTTCACTTTTAATAAATAGGCACTGAAAGTGTGAAGTATTTATAATAAGTACTCTTTTAAGCACTTTATACGCTTAGTTTTTTGTGAATAAGCATTGAAGTTATAAAATGCCTATAATAGATAATATTATAAGCACTTTATAGGTTTAATTCTTGATAAATAGGCAGTAAAACTGTGAAGTGCTTGTAATAATAGGCACTTCAATGCCTGATAAATAGGCAATCAAACTTTAAAATGCCCATTGATTTAATATATAGGAAATTTTAAAGTGTGAATGCCTGTTTCTTAATAAAGCAAGCAATGAAAAACTGCTTTTTAGCTCATGGTTTTTCAAAGAATTTAAAGTGTATTATTTAAAAAATAAAAAATAAAGAAAATTGTAGGGAAGAAATTAAATTATTTGTGTAATAAATAATGTGGCAAAGAAATAAAGAAAGAAATTAGATAAAATGCAACATTATGTGCGACTGGCATTCCCATTTTGTGTTAGTAAAGGGAGGCAAGTTGGGTCGATACAAGTCGCTAGATTTTTCTATTTTTCCTTCTCTCGCTTGGTCCAAAACTTGCTTGTTTTGTAAGGTTCGTTCTTAGAAGAAGGAGAAGAAGGAGAGAGAGAGAGAGAGAGAGAGAGAGAGAGCAAAAAAAGAATTGTGTTTTTGTAAGGAACTTCTTTCACCCCCCTCTATTTTTATTTCTCTGGGGCTTTTCTTGAAAATAATTCACTTTGAGTATCTCTAGAATTTTTTGAAAATCTTCTATTATCTTCTTATCTGTTAAATTTATAATGTTGTCGTTACTGGAAATAAGTTTTCAAATGTATTTAAGTGTTGGTTTTTTTTATTAAGGTTATAGTTTAATTTGATTAGATTTATTTTAAGGGAGGTCATCTTTACTTATCTCTATATTAAGTACAGGAAAAAGTAAGAGGAGGAGGATGAAGGAGGAGGATGAATGATGAGTGTAACGTATGAAAGGATTTATTAGAGGCCCTAAATTCTCCATCAGATAATTCATGTTAAATCTTTTTGGGGATGAAGCGAGGCCCTATTTAACTCTGTCTAGGCTAATGTTGAAAGTGTATACACAAGTGTACAGACTATTGACTAGGTTAGTTTTAACTATTACTTTAGTTAATATGGAATTTAATGATGACTTTTTAAAAATTACAATATCATCTAGAGTCAGGGCTCTCCTAATAATGTCAGGGGGCTACTATCCCCTTAAATTAGTGTTATTTCTGTTAATAAAGAGGCATTCTAATTATTTTACTCGTTAAAAGAATGGTAAAGCTTTCGACATTCCCGCTAGAGGTAACGAATAAGATCTCTATTTATTAAAACAATGGGATTTTTCAGTAGAAGCAAACGAGCGTGGCTTCTTCCCTTTCCTTTGTTTTAACTTAAAAATAGATAAAAGATTTACAAGCAACCCTCAACCCCACAGAAGGCGAAATTAACACTGAAAAGTATAATCTTTTTTTTTTCTTATGTTCTATTCTAGGCAACAGATGCCACCAACATTGGCCACACAGATCACCATGGAGAAGACTCCCAGCTATTTCATAACTAAAGAGGTACCTGAGAGAATTCATGCAATGTCACCCAACGTTAAACTGTTAGTTGTTGTTCGCGATCCTGTCACAAGAGCTATTTCCGACTACACGCAGACGGCCAGTAAGAAACAGGATACTGGAACTTTCGATACACTAGCATTACTGAATGCTTCAACAGGATTAGTTGACACCACGTGGAGTGCCATACGACTGGGAGTGTACGCTCGATATTTAGATTGGTGGCTGAGATTCTTTACATTGAGGCAGATACACTTTGTAAGCGGGGAGAATCTAATTAATGATCCCGCGGGCGAGATGGCACGTGTTCAAGATTTTTTAGATATTAAAAGAATTATCAGCGATAAACATTTTTATTTTAATGAAACTAAGGGGTTCCCTTGTTTGAAGAAGTCCGAGGGTAATGGTAATCCTCATTGTTTAGGTAAAACTAAAGGCAGGACCCATCCTACCATATCTTCTTCTACCATTCAGAGATTAAGAGACTTTTATAGACCTTTTAATGTAAAATTTTATCAAATAGTAGGCCGTAATTTTGAATGGCCTTAAAAAAATAATAAATAAATAAATAAATAATAATTGATATGTAAAGAAATTTAAAGAAAGTTTTAAAAATTTTAAGTTTTATGTAATCATTTTGTTTGTTTCTTTTGTTACTTAAATTTAAACGTATTTTATGAATTATTAATCAAATATTTTCTTTAATACTTCATAAAATACGGACAGACCTCTAATAACGGACACCTCTAAACGACGGACGTTTCTTTATGTAATTCATACAATCTATAACCTCCAAACAACGGCATTTTCTCTCAGTGGCCGTTGTTCAGAGGTTCGGCAGTAATTATTTTTCAAGTGTTTTAAATTAAAAATTACAGCAAACACAAACAATTTTTTAAAAGAGAGAGAGAGAAAAAAAAGTAAAATAACAAATTAATCATTTAAAACATTTATAAAACTAATTAAATTATTAATTAATTAATTTTTTAAAGAAATTTAAGCACGCAAAAATACGAAAAAAAGCATTAAAACATAAACACAATTATCTAAATTATAATTAAGTTTAACAGAATAATTCTAAGTAAATTAAAAGAAAATCATTTTATCGTTTTTTTAAACGAAAGTTTTAATAAATAATAATAATAATAATAATAAAATGAATCAAACATTTTAAAAATCCCAGACTTCACTCGACTGTGTCCAGTGTCTCTAGAGAACAATGGCCTCATCTGTCAAATGACTTGGTCCAGTGTCATTTGCCAATATCAGACAAAATAGATGTGTCAGTTCATGTCAACTGGGATTTTAGTTATCTGCGATTCTTGCTCATTGATCATTATGTGTACAAATGGGCGAATTACTGTTGCATAACGAAATCTCCCTCTGCACCTTTATGACTTCGCTTATCTGTCCGTGCAACCTTCCACCCTATTACAGCAATTAAAGTACAGTAAAAACTTTATTGAACACCTTCTTTAATGATTTAATTATAGAGGTTGGCTTTACTGATGGAAATTGATCGACTCGCTACTGTATAACGCGCGGCCTCTCGTGTTTGATCGTGCTCTGTTTAAGTTGAACACCCCTTTAATTAATTTATTTTATGTATAATTTACTGTTTTTTAACGTAAAGAATAAGTTGTGTTTTAGTGTTTGATTAATAAAGAATGTGCGAGATTTGGGCGCGTGATAAACCAGCTGAAATTTAGGGCCTCGCTTTAAGAGTCTTTAGCTTAGGGCCTCACACTTTTACATGCATTTTTTGGTAGAGGAAAAGGACTGGTGTGTATTATAGATAAGGGCCTCAACAAGTCTAAGTCCAGCCTTGAGTATACGTTAAACACGAAATTCTCTAATTAATGGAGAATTTAGTAAGGTCTAAAATTATTCTAAATATCAAATCCTGTAACTGTTCTATTATATTTTAAGTGCAGAAAATACATATAAAACCCTAAAATTAATTCTTATTCTCTCAAATTACTGAAAGAATATTTTAAGTTTTAAAATGATCTTAAATGCTGATAATCCTTTCAGCAGGGCAGACTTGTTGGACTTAGACTAAGTTATAACAGGCCCTTCCCCACTACCAAATAACGATATATGTAAAAATATGAGGCCCTAAGCTATAGATAGACTCATAATGCCAGACCTCAAGCTAAAGCTGGTTTAGCTTATATGCAAATCCCTCCCTGGCTTTAAGCCCTGTAATTATTATTATTATTTTATTTTTCAGGTAATGAAAGTAATCCCTAAAATCTCATATAAATATCGAAAAATATTTTAAATGTTAAAATTATTTTCTCTAAATACATGAAACAATGTTTCAAGCTCCAAAATTGACTCTTCACTGAAGAACACTTTAAGCTCTAAAATTAACTTCTACTGAACATTTTAAGCCCTAAAATTATTTCCTTCTTCAAACACTAAAGAAGACAAACCTTAAAAACTAAAAAGGATGTTAAACCCTAAAGTTACTCTGTTCTTCTTTAAATATTAATGAATGAACACTTCAAAAAAAAACTCAATAATGAAATTGTCATATGTTTTTATTTGTTCAATAATACCCAAGAGCACAAATAACTCATTAAAAAAATCCAATCTGTGAATAAAATCTGTGTTCATGCCATCGAAGAAAGGAAAAATGCTCATAGAAGATTATAAGCATCGATTGAGAGGAAGAGGGAAAGAGCAAAGCAATAAAATAAAAACACTTAATGGCTATTAAAGTACAGCTCTTAACCCCAAAAGGTAACTTTAATTGGATAATTAAGAAAGAATCACTTAAGTAATTGCAAGTTAGGAATTGGGTGTATCATTAAAGGCAACAAATAACATAAAATTGAGAAGATTATTTAATAAAATGAAGAGAATTTTTTTAGGGAGGGGAAAAAAATTACAAATTTTCTTAGAAAATTATTAATTTATATAATTAATTAATTAATTATAAAACAAAGTTTTGCCTACAGCTAAAGCCAATATATTTAAAGCGAATTTTTAAATATTTAAAATATAAAATAATATGTAAATAAACGAAAAATATAATTTAAGAATATTTTTTCTTTAATATTTATTTACTTTTTATTAATTTTTTATAATTTAATATTGTGTAAAACGGATTTAACGATTTTTTTTTCCGTTTTTTACTGTAATTTTAAAGTTTTTTTTACGTTTTATTGCTTGATTTTTAGCTTTAAATCAATTTAAGATAATAAAATTCTATTTATTTTTTAAAAGTTATAAGAATTCGAGATCATATAAGCATCAATAGAGAATTAAAAGAGAGAATGTTGTCACCTAGACACAGATATAGACGTTTGACCCGGATTCCGAACATAAAAAAATAAATTTTGGGAGTTCTTTTATGTAAAAATAACTAAAATAATCGAAAAATTTATTAGTTTTATTGATTTTATTCACATCTTTTATGGATTTTTGATGTAGGAATCACATTTACACTGGTCTTCTCTTATCACTCCACTGTCTTCTGCATTAACAAAATAATTAGAGAATGTAACTTAGTTAAGCCCTACAAATAACATTTAAACTGTTATATTGGTTTAGGAACCGAATAAATAAATAAAATTGCCAAAAATGTTAACGTGACAAGATTGGCTTCGAACACAAAGAGGAGAATGCGTGTGCTGAAAATTATTATTTTTTTTTTAAAAAAAAGGGACAAATTTAACTATTTACAAAAGCTGATTTTAAATAAAAATGATATTAAATTGCATAAATATAATAAAATCGATAGAATAATCAAATGACACTTCAGAAAATAAATGTCCAACCGGACCAAATTGCAACTACATATCACTTCTCTTATGGCTTTGAGATCTGGATTCTAGCCAAAAGAGATATTCAAAAATTGGAAACTGTTCATACGAGGCATTTGAGACCATTACTAGACCTTAGTAAATTTGATCAGCAAAGAAATTTGGATATTGGAGGCATACTTAAATTAGACAAAGCCACTTAATTAGAATAGACAATTGCTTATCGAAATTTGCCTTTTTTTGTAGATGTTCGTGATAATGATAATGAATTAAAACTTTAATGGAATCAGAATATCTCCAGAAACATTTTACGGGAGATTACGTTCCATATATGTCACCACCCGACCGCCCCACGAGCCTGGCCGAATCCACGATGGATCTGAAAGACGACCCTTTTAGTGGAGAGAGTAAACTAAGTAATTAAAGTTTATATGAACACTTAATGCAATAGTAATGTGAATGATCCAAGTATTGTTTAAGTCTTAAGCAGCAAGTACATTTTTTTTAAACAAAGGCTTCTTAGTGCCACAGGGCAGATGACCTTCGGCCCCTAAAGACACCTTTTTAATACTTCGGCAGGGTCCACGATGGGTGGAGGAAAATGAAGGATGGGCCACCCCCCCAACGAAATTCCTGAAGAGTTATTCTCCTGGATTCGATCCATATAGCAATAGGTACACCTGAACCTATTTTCAACCGGTGATGAGCGGCACCATAACGATTTTTACATGTATTACTGTATATTTTCATATATAATTAAAATTATAAATTATTTAATGCCTGTAATCATTTTAATAAAAGTACTGTACACAAAATGTAGCCCACAGTGGCCGAGTGAATAAAACCACCGAACATTGGTAATTGGGTGTGGACTTGCGTGGAATTTTCCGGGCTTTCACTACGTTAGTAACACCTAAATAGCGCCAGAGTCTCATAGAAAGTCCTCCCGGGAGACACCCCCCGGCAGATCGCCTACATGTTACGTTGCCACATACAAACAAAATTAAACTAATTAATACGCATTATAAAAACATGTACAAAGTGTATAGAGATGACACATGAAAAAAAATCAAGTTGGGAGTGTCAATATTAGAAAATGTTTGAAAAACACTGGTATATCAAACCCACTATATTTCTTAATGTTGAATATTCATCTTCGATCTTCTGAAGTACCAACTTGTATTGAAAGGACTACATGAAATTACCTTTCTTTCTGTTGAGTAGCCCTTTTAGAGGAAAAGAATACAAAAAAAAAAAAAAAAATATTGATTTCAATTCCTACTGCCATCCTCTTTACACACATCCCGATCCTTATCCCGCTGTCAGATACAGGATACCCTCTTTACACCCTTTGCATTAGTCAAGTTATAAGTGTGGAAAACGTCATACTTGCAATAATTTACTACGAATTTAATGGAATTAGAACACTTTCTATAATCTGTTGTAAGATCCAGGCTCGAATTTTTGAAATTTTACTAAGAAATTAAAAACTTCATGAAATTTTTAATGTAATCTGTCCAGCAGATTATTATTGTAATAAAGTTGTTATTGATGTATATTAGCGTTCTTTAGAACTAAATGTGAAAAGCATGATCGATGTTAATGCGGTTCTGTCAGCATAAAGTTAGCAAAAATCCCATTATGACGTCATTAGAACCATAAAATGCACGCGATTCGTATTGGCAAATGATTATATTCGCGACAGTCTGTTCTTACAGGTTCACAATGCATTTAAAGAATTTTTACGTAAAAATGTGGGGAAGATATATTTAAAGTGTCGTTCACGAGAAGATTTATAAAATATTTCAGAAGTCTCAATTTTCTTCAACGCAAATAATCTTTTTAATATTACCAGATTTAAAAACCCAGGGCTTTCAATAATACCACCCACCAGTAGACTAGTGGATAAAACCACCAAACACTGGGAGCTAGTCGTGAGTTTGCGCCTGACCAACGGGCTGAACACGAAGTCTTCCGCGTTTTCTTCACGTGTCTAAACACCGAAATAGGAAATTAACACCATAGAAAGTCCTCTAGTGAGGCACTTCCCTTAGCAGATTGCTCAGGTGTTGTGTTACAGTATCCCATTAATTTAATTCAATAATTTCAAATACATTTTATTACTAAATAAACAAAATTTTTTGAACATTCCAGTTTTTTAAAATGCATTTTTAATTTCCTCTTTGGGAGCTTCCTTGGCTTTTTCTAACTTCATCTTTAGAAGCTTTCTTGGATTTTCTAACTGCCTTCTCGGGAGCTTCCTTGGGCTTTTCACTTGCCTCTTCTGGAGCTTCCTTGCGCTTTCTAACTCCCTCTTCGAGAGCTTCCTTGGGCTTTTCACCCGCCACTTCTGGAGCTTCCTTGGACTTTTCACCCGCCACTTCTGGAGCTTCCTTGGGCTTTTCACCCGCCACTTCTGGAGCTTCCTTGGGCTCTTCACCCGCCACTTCTGGAGCTTCCTTGGGCTTTCTAACAAGCTCTTCGAGAGCTTCCTTGAGCTTTATAACTGCCTCTTCGAGTGCTTCTTTGAGCTTCTCATCTAGACCTTCCGTTCGCTTTCTAACTAACTCTTCGACAACTTCCTTGACCTTTATAACTGCCTGTCTGAAAGCTTCCCTGAGCTTTTCATCTCTCTCTCCTGGAGATTCCGTGAGCTTTGTTAATGCCTCTTTGGAAGCTTCCTTTATCTTTCCACTTGCCTCTCCGAGAACTTTCTTGAGCTTTTCATCCGTCTCTTCCGTGCACTTTCTAAGTCCCTGTTCTAGAGCTTCCCTGAGCTTTGTAACTGCCTCTTTGAAAGCATCCTCGGGCTTTTTAAGTAGCTCTTCGAGAGCTTCCTTGAGCTTTTTATCTGCCTCTTCTATAGTTTCCTTGCGCTTTTTAAGTAGCTCTTCGAGAACTTCCGTGAGCTTTCTAATTACCTCTTTCAGAACTTCCTCGAGCTTTTCATCTGCCTCTTCCTTGCGATTTCTAACTATCTCTTCGAGAGCTTCCTTGAGCTTTCTAACTGCCTCTTCGAGAGCTACCTTGAGCTTGTCATCTGCCTTTTCGAGAACTTCCTTGCGTTCTCTAATTCCTCTTTCGAGAGCTTCCTTGAGCTTACCATCTGCCTCTTCGAGAGCTTTCTTGAACTGTTCATTTTCCTCTTCTAGAGCTTCCCTGTGCATTCGAACTCTCTCTTCGAGAACTTTCTTGAGCTTTGTACCTGCCTCTTCGACAGCACCGTTGGGCGTTTCATCTTCCCCTTCGAGAACTTCCTTGAGCATTCTAACTAAATCATCACCGAGAGCACTCTTGGGCTCTTCATCTTCCTCTTCGAGCTCCTCTTCGAGAGGATTCTTGAACTTCAGCTCCTTTTTCATCAACAAAAGCAAGTTTTGAATTCCTTCTTTGATTTCGTTTAGACGAAGAAAATTATGATTGATAGAAGTAAACGTCTGACGACCTTTCTCCTTCATTTCATCAATCTGATCAACCAAGAATTGCAGGGAATCTAAGTGAAAAGAAGAAAAAAAGTTAGAATTGGGCAAGAAAAGGGAAAAGCCAAAAAACACTACCGTCTTTATTTATATCTGCGGCCATTTTGGCAATTTCCATAATTTTCGAATGTGTCTCTTCAACGCCTCTTCTATACATCTGAAAAGAAAAAGAAAAAACTTCAGAAAATAAAAAAAAGATGTAGAAATAAAATAAGACAGCGACGACGATTTACATTCATAGGCATATTCTTCAGAAAAGCATGAGTTACATCGATATCCATTGTAAAGTCTTCGATCCTTCTTATAGTTTGCAATACATCCTACAATTATTATTATTATTAGATTTAATTACGTTAAAATAAGTTAATCGCAATTAGCGATTTTTTTTATTTAATTCATACCTCCGTTGAGATTTCTTCCGATTCTTCGTTCGCAGCTTGTTTTAGGAGATTTACAGCTTCGAAAGAGAGATCAATTGCACTATCTGCATAGGGAAAGAAAAGTGTTGTGTGTGTGTATGGGGGTTCCCTTACATAAAATTGTTTTCTAGAATAATCGAAGGTTTATCGCAAATTAATTTTTTAAATTAATTCCAAACCAAGAAAATTCCTGGGTGCATAGTTTCGAGTTATGCGAGTAAGCAACAAACGTGTTACTTACTCGCATACTAGTGTTGTTTACATGTTCAATGAATGGTCTCATTGAACGGACTGGTACCACGTGACACTCAACACAGTGTTTCTACTCACACGACTCGAGACTAGGAAGGACCCTGGTGTTTCGCGAATTTTATTACCACCGACGAAAAATCCATGGGATTTTTAAAGAAATCATTAAATGGAAGTTAAAAGAAATTCTATAAATAGAACAAGAAGAAATTCACGGTTAACTAAAAATAAAAAGATTTAAGAAATTTCTTGATGGAATAAAAAAAAATGTAATCTGAAAAAGAACTTAAGTAATCCTTTTATGTTATTAGCTGGATAAGTTCAGAATAAGAAATAAATTTTAAAAAAAACCTAAGTAGTGTCTAAGGCAGAATAATTCCCAAAGTAGGTGCCACCGTCCTCTTGAGGATGTAGAAAACTCAAGGGAGCAATAGAGATATTGGAAGGAAAGGACAAAAAATTCATTTTGAAACAAACAAAAAAAATATAAACTAACAGGGGTCAGTAATCCGAAAAGTTTGGGAAACTGTGGTCCAGGCGATAGGCCTAGTCGTAACACGAATAAATCTAAAATTTATATAATTCCTTCCAAGGAATTTCAGCAAAAGTGAAATCTGGCTACATTAATCGAACAGTAAAAACGCTTATTTTTGAACTAAAAAAAAGAAAAATCTTACATCTTTCTTTCGTTTTATTAGTCACGTTTTTGTACATCAGGAGAGATTCAAGAAAAGGCAACGTCTTTTCTTCATTAGTCAATTCTGAAGGGTCCCTTTTGCAACTCGGAGGTGCAGCCGACCAGTATTTTCGAACAGACTCTTCCATATTTCGTCTTCTTACCTCTGCTTCGTCTACCGAGTTTGCCATTGCGTTCGACGATCCTGTAAAGATGGCGCCAACAACTTAATTATACGTCTTACTAAGAAATCGCCCGATTATGTAAATTAGTTAATATTTAAATGAAGATTTACGTTAAAATACAGACGGATTTTATTTTATTATTAATCAGATTTTAATCGTAATATAAGCATTTTTAATTAATTATTTATTTAATAATAATTGCTATAAAGAGTTATGCCCTCCGGCGAAGGTTTCGGATTGCTTACAAAATTATATAAATTCAAAATACCAAAATAAATATTAATTTGCCGAGTGTATAAAATGGTAAAACTTGATTACTGAACTCAAAATATGTAAGATGAGTACGTTGAGATCTCGTATGCATTTATGCAAAATGTTACGTGATAATGGGTGTTTTTAATTAGCAAAGTGGCTAAGGAAACCAATAGCGTAGTTTGTTTCATATGCAAATATTTACTTACCTATTCGTTACTAAGAAGCAACACGGTTATGAAATTCGCTACATTATTTGAAACTTTATACTGTACAAAACAGAGGAGGGAAACTCTTTTAATAATATAATTTTTACTGGTATCGATTGATCGAATGAAGTATTTTGAAGCAAACTAACTACGTTTCCCTTAAGGGTGGATAAAATAATTGGTGCCAAGTTCTAACTACGCTATTCTGTCAATGGAGTTTGAGTCAGAACCGGAAGGAAAGGATGCGTTTAACTAATTTAGTTTTGAGAGGGGGTCGTCCCAATTCGTGCCTAATCAGCAAACTGACAGTAAGAACGGTTTAGGAATGAAAGGCGTTTAATAAATTGTAAATGAAATTATTCCATGACGTCATAACGAGTAGGAAAGGAACTTTAAAAGAAAAAAAAACGGTGAAACGAGTTTTAAAATTCATATTAACCTGGATATTTTCATTTAAATTTTATTTCTAATGTTTTTATATAATGTGCGGATTTACTAGAAGAGGAAAAACCGTCATATTAAATGTTTTCTAAGTTATACACAGTATATTTAATGCTACTTCAAAAAGTGTGTAAAGATTTAAACACTTAAACTTTACTAAACGATATATATATATATAATCTGGTCAACTATATAAATTATTAAGATATCCTCACTTCATGTAAATATTCTCTTCACATTTTAACTACAAACGTATTATATAGTGCAGCATTAATACAGTATTTAAACTCCACGTTTAGAAGCAAATTTTGTCAGCAATTTAATCTATATAAAGGTATATAAACAAAGATGTTTGTTCGCTATGCACTCCTAGGCCGTTCGACCAATTATTACGAAGCTCGACAGTTACGTTAACATATTTCTAACTTAAACAATGTCATAAACATCACCCCAAACTATTGATTGGATTTCTATATATCAATTAATTTCTCTACATTCCATTGGCTGGGTTTAAATGTAGCACCATCTATTAGCAAAATATTTAAAAATAGACTATTTTTTTTCACTTACTGTAACAGGTAGCGCATATCACTTGCCTGCGTGAAATGGAAACTGTTAGTTACCATGTGACCGATTATCTTAATACTTCTAAATTTAACTGTATAACATACGAAGTTATAATTCTAGCGTAGTATTTAATCAGCATTTCATAATTACAACATTAATATTTGTTATGTTCAGCAGAAAGCAAAAGTGGTTTATTAAATACATATTTCTCCACATTTCAAAAATTATGTAATGTCTACAATCAAACAATTCGGTGGAGCCTTATGCTATGAGCAAAAAAGGAAAATTGCTTGGTTCCCCACCAACATAGATCTTCCAATCTTTTATAAGAAACGGTAATGTTTTGGGGAAATCTAAGAAGGATGAAGTCACGTTCATGAGGCTCCCTAATTCAAATTCGCTTGGGTCCCGTGAAGTTATAACGCGCCACTGAAACAACTGTTTAAAAAAAATGATTCTACATAAAATGAATAGGTTACATACAAGAAGCCAGAATACAATTTTTATTAGTAATTTGAAAAATTACAGAAAAACATCTACACAACACTTATAAATTGTAAATTTTCAAATATCTTTCATCTTTATTCATTGATTGAAAGATTTGCAAATCTTCATATTGTTCATTAATGTCATTCAAAATCTTTTTCAATTCTTTTCGCTTCACGTCTATATTTTTCGCTGCTTCCTTAGCTTCAGCTTGAAACTTAATAATTTCCACTTTAATCTCTTCGCATTTTTTAATATCGCCAAGAAAATCTTTAAAACGGGAAAAACACTTCGTTAAAATTATATAAAAAATTTTAAAAAAAAATTTAAAATGAAAAAAATTACCTTTCTGCACCTTAAGTCGATCAATCAAATTACCCAATTCTCTTACAATAATTTTTATTCTCTCGTTCATATCCAATTTGATTACACTTCTTTGCTTGAAGCCACTGAAAACTGATCTATAATACTTAAAAGTACACAAAAAATTACTTATAATTCATAATGTACAGAGAGTACACACTTTAAAATTACTTACTTCCGGGGGTCGTGTAAGACCAGTTTCGCTTGAAACTTGATGATCTGCACCTTGTACACTGAATCTCTCTTCGTACAACCTTAAAGCATTTATTAGCAGCTACAAAAATTTATATTTTTAATTAATCGCAGCATTTTAAACCTTAATTTTTTTTTAAAATTAAATTTAACAATTACTTACTTGTTCTGGATCCACTGAAAAATTAACAATAACAATACGTTTAGATATTTATTAATGGGTAATTTATAGAATAATATGAGTGAAGTTGTTTACCTTTATCGAAAGCATTATCGACATTTCTGGCTACAAATTGTTGATAAAGTATTTGCACACCTTGTGGGATGCCCTTGTGTTGTTTTAAATAATCCATCATTTCTTTTATATAATTTGATATACACTTGGAATGAAACGAAAACTCCGACATGTTGGCTACGTAAAAGAATCTTTGCCTCTTGCACGCTGTTATATGATCTCTTACTGCTGCAATTATATGCAAATTAGACGTGTAGCTTGCAGAGTTACGAGTGTTAAATTGCAAGAAGATAAATTTTAAATACTTTTTTTTTAAATTTAAAATTTATGCGTGAAGTAGAAACTATGCTACGTTCGTGGTTAGACTTTGCGAAATTTTATTTATAAATTTAGTAAATATTTTCTACATAAATTTTTGTTTTTGTAGATTACAAATTTAAAAAATAAAAATAAAAAAAATGCATGTTTAATATTCTGTCGGTTGTTAAAACGTGCAAAATCGAACCGAATTGAATTGTTTGATGAAACTCTTCCATTGGATTGATGAGTCAACTCATCAAGTGGAAGATTTCGGAGAGAATTTTCTATGGGAACTGGCCCCTATTTAGGTTCTTGAAAATTCTTTTCGCTCTGAGGGCCTTTTTGGCAACCCCATTATGGGTTCGGCCACTCACGTGAGGTAGCCCGACATAGCTCTGGATAGACCACCCCCGAAAAATTCTTCGGGATTTTTCAATCAGGATTGGAACTTGGGTTCCCTAGAATTGTAGGCTACCGCCTTAACCTCGCGGCCGTACCTATTCGGGTGTTAGATACGTAAAGAAAATCTGGAAAACTCTTAAGTGGCCAATCCGTTGAAAAGGGTCGAACCCGCGACCTCAGTGGTTTTATCCACTCGACCACTGATGGGATTCTACTACAGAACAATAGAACAAATGGAGATAGTATATCTGATGAAATATTTTCTGATAAATAAACTGATCTTCATTTTTTATTTTTGTTATAAAAATTTGGCACGAAGTTTCAGTTAACCAAAAATCTGTACATTATAGATTATGTATGGTGAAATCATCCAGTACTGAGACCTGAAAGGCTCATGACCAGAAGGTGAGAGATGGGAATCGACCCATACGGTACCCAACTATCTGGAGATCCACGGAAGCAGTCTCAACTTCAACTGAATCTAGCAGTTATCACACAACGCATAATCCCGAGGATGTGTTCATACCAGTGACCAGATGGATAAAACCATTGAGCAATGGTAATTGGTCGTGGGTTCGCGCCTCACTGCGTGGACTTTTCCAAGATTTCGCGTAAATGAAGAGACAGTTTTCCATAGAAAGCAGTCCCGGAGGCATCGCCCACGTGTCCTGTTGCCTTATACAACCAAAACCATTTAACTCGAGGATGCAGCCACCTCATCCTCAACTGAAGACTAGTATATCGACATGTGGGCTACGTAAAAGAATCTTCGCCTCTTGCACGCTGTTATATGATTTCTTACTGCTGCAATTATAAGCAAATTAGACGTGTCGCTTTCTATGCAACACAAGAGTAATGTGTGTTGCCCCGACCACCAACACTCACAGAAAATCAGGCAGTCGGGGCCCTAGCCGTCCTCCTAGTGGGGAAGCTTAGCCGAGTGCCTACCCACATCAAAGACCTGAGTAGACAGACAACATCAGTATAAACGAATATAAGAAAGTTTTTAAAAAGTTGGAAGATAAAACAATAAACTCGCCAATAAATTTTTAACTTCCTACGACATTTTGACACGTCCTATTATCTTTACAGGGAGATTACTCGTGTAGAATGATAAGGTGTATTTTTACATTAAACATGAGTTACTTCATGCATGTTATCAATCGCGATAAACACATCCTTTCACATTATCGTCAAGAACAGGAACGTGTGTGACGTGTATCTTTATTCAGCAACATGTGACCAGACGGGTATGTAGTGTTTGCAATCCGTAGATATTTTTAGTCAGCAATATCATTAATATAGCTACCTAATGCGATTAATTGCAGAAAAACATTCAAAAATATGTAATAATTTGTTAATTTGAAGTTTAATTTAAAGAAAGAAATAACTCGTTTACTTTTACATTAAATAAACAAATTAATTAAATATATAATTACTTTCTATCACTTGTACACTTGTACTTTAGTGATAAACAAGATTAAAAAATGACCTTTATACTTTGTGGCCCAATGGATAAAACTCCTGGTCAACGGACTTTGCCACGTGGAATTTTCCAAGTTTTCATGTCTAATATCTAAATAGGGTCGAACCCACGACTAGTTTCCCCATAGAAAACTAGTCGTGGATTCGACCCTGGTTTGGATTGGTTTATTCGTATATGACAACGTGGATACATGGACGATCTGATGAGAAGAATGCCTCCCGAGGAGTCTTTTACGGAAAACTGGCTCCTAGTTAGGTGTTAATGGTGAAGAAACCCCGGAAAACTCACGTGGCCAGCCTGTTGGTGAGGTGCGAACTTACTACCAACAACCGGTGTTCAATGGTTTTATCCACTCGTCCACTTGTGTAAGGGTTCGACCATAAACAACTGAATGAACACCTGAACTTTCCGTGTTTTTTTTCGTGTCTAACACCTAATTAAGGGCCAGTTTCACATAGAAAGACCTTGAGGAAAGCAACACCCTCGGCAGATCACTCGTGTTGCGTACCTTATCCCATCAATCCGATCCCTTTACATTTTAATATCTCATTATCTGATACGGATAAGCGTGATAACTTTCTTCCACTTTAGGAAACCTTAAAGACATATTAGTTGTTATCTAAATTCTAATTATAGATACAAACAGGTCTTAAATATTGTCACGATGATTATATTGATATTGAATTATTCTATTAGTATTTTAGTATGTCCTGAAGTTCTATTCAATCATGAAAACATTTTGGGCTTTTGAAACTAAATTCGAACTGCAAGTGTTTAGTTTATTCAATTTGCCGTATATATTAATATATATGGCAAATAAAATTACATAAAGGCAAACAAAAAATACATAATTCAAAGGATAATAGAATTTCGATTATCCGGGACAAATGTGAAAAAAAAAATTAACTTGGAAGCTTTTTGTGATATGGCAATGGTCCGATTTTCTTGAAAATGTCTAGTAACATTTCCCCGTAATACTCAAATCTCCCTGTAAAATTTCAAAAATTTTCGACGAAAGGCACAGGATATATTAATCTTCAACTTGTGTGAAAAAAAATCATGCTGCCCAACCATTAATATCCATATATGCAGAAAAAAAGTCCAACTTTTTTGTATTTCTCGACGTTTCAAGGTTCCCCGATTCCAAAAATGTGAAAATCTTGGGATGGTCACTTTTCGACCGACGCCATACTCTCCCTCTGTTATATAACAGCTGGAAAAGTAAAATTTCTGGTTAATCCGAAGCCATTTAAATCCTCTCTATTCAGAAAACGGAACGAGTAGATTTTCAGAAAAACGTAAAGTGAACAAAGCATTACAGCTACCACAGGTAGTTAATGGTAATAAATTGGCCATTTTAGTAAAGGGCACCCCTCCTTTTACTCGTCCTAGCCAATAGCTTGCAAAGTGGATGAGTCATAAAGTGATTTGTAATGATTTAATGACTTATCCTTAGGTACTTTCGGCATCCCGGTTAATGCATTGGCGGACAGTCGAGTGTACTGTTTCACAATCTTTTCTATTTCTGAAGAAAGTATTAAAACCGAATTTTCCATGATTATTGTGAAACTAGTGCCATCACACGTCTCAAATACTGTCCGAAGGATGGCCGCAGACGGTAAAAGAGTAAACCTTACGCTCCGGAGCATCCGTAATCGAATCCGGACGAAGATTATTTAAAAATTTTTATAGGGCCCATCCCTCACCAATCAGCCGCACCATTTTGGGCCTTGCCGAACCCGCATGGGCAGGAAAAAAGTGTACTACAGCAGTGGCCAAGTGGATAAAACCACTGAACACTGATGTGTGTTCGCGCTTCGCTAGTTCACGCCGTTTTAACACCGAAATAGGACCAGTTTCCCGTAGAAAGTCCTTCCAGGAGGCACCCCTTTCGGCAGATTGCCCATGTGTCGCGTCGCCTTATCCAATGAAAGAAATTTAGTAGTGTGCAGAATGATTAGAAGTAAAGGAATACGCCAAATATTTTAATTATTATAAAACTACCCAATCCAAATAACTAGCAAATAGTTAATTTTATTATAATTTAAAAAAAAGATTAAAAAAATAATAAAATTTTATCCGATTGCAAAAATATTTGCATAAAAGAAACAAATGTGATTAATTTGCATATCGATGCAATCAAAGCGTTAACCAATCACAGGATTTTACAAGATATAAAAGGATGGGCGAGGAGACGTTCTTCACTCTCATCTTTCTTGCTTTAGTCACTTGCTAGTAGAACTAATTACAGGTAAGTAGTTTGTGATTTAAGTTAATTTTTGTGAAATTAAATTTTCTTTCCTAATTTAGGATAATTCAAAAATGGAAATGATCATCTTCAAGAGAATCTACGAAATTCCTGTGGTGAAAGCTTCAGTAGATTGTATGTCTACTATGTATTCTAGCATAAAAGAATCCCGAGCCGTACCTGAAACCGCTTTAACAACTATTGAAGAAACTCTTGCTAATCTTCTAAACAAGACTAAAGTTTACTCCGAACAACTAAAAGATGAAAGTAAGTTTCTTTTAATTCCTCTTTAAGTTGTTTTTATTTTGTCTTAAACACAAACTCCCTATAGTCGCTTCCGTTGATAACTATGCTGTTCAAGTTCTCGACAAAATCGAAACGAAGGCTCCTTTCATCATGAAACAACCCAACGAGGTAAATTTTCCCTTTTTTATCCTCAAGAAAATTTTTAAGATTAACATCTCAATTTTTTTTTTAAATAGCTATTAGCAGATATCCGTAACTTATATTCCGAAATTTCGTCTAAGAAAGGCTTCTCTATCATGAAAGACCTAGTTTCTGTGCAGGTAAGGGAAGTAGTTTCACTCGAAATACTTGCGTTTAAACTAATGCCATACTATACTTCTCAGTTCCTGTGTGCCACTACCGTAGCTTCATCTCTTACTAGTAAAACTACTAAAGCTGTTATGGATCAACTTGAATTTGCCATGACTTACTTCACAAACAAGCTTTCCTCCTACCTACCTCAAGGTAAGTAACGAAACCTATATACCTATATGAAAAGTTACTTTTAAGTAAGACCTTATCTCAATTTAGGTGATGCTGCAACCGTATCTAAGGACGAAGCTCTCAGGTTAAAAGAAATTGCCGACTTCGTTCAGGAGAAAATGTCTAAAATATACGAGGTAGTCCAAAGAACTCTGCGCACTGTAAGTACTGGATCTTCTTTCAAGCCCGATCCTAGTCTTCTACAGAACTTCATTGTTTCTTATTTTTAGCAGGAAACTGAATCTGGAAGTGAGACAAAAAGCGAGAACTGAAACTTCTACTACTATGATTTGATTTCTGTTATGTATTTCTGAATTTCAATAAATCGTCTTTAAAGCCTTATTTGTCTTTTTTTCATTGTAATATATATGAGTTCAACTTCTTAATGAATCCGGATTACTAAGAATCTATGTAAACAAACTTTACGCACTCATATTGGGTCTCATTAGTTTAAAGCTTCGGAACAGTGCGGGTTTATGTACGCTTCTTACCGCTTTAATCCGCAAAACGACGTTTAGAGGGGGGAAAAATGAGTCGCTGACGCACTTGTCACCATAATTAGTTTAGCAGTCGATCTTTCTTCGAACCCCCTTTTAGAACTAAAGGAAAAATCGAAAGTTTCGAAGTTCTTTCGAGAACTCTCCTATTCTCGCACTTCTTATAGGAGCAAGTCTTCCACGTATGACGTTTCAGGTTTAATATCTGGAACCGTAATGTTCTTAGAATCCTCAAAGGATTTCCATGGACCATCAATTCTCAAAGATCTGACAAAGTAGTGGATTAACTTGTGGCTAGGACCACAAGAGGGCTTCATCGTGTTTTCTTTCTCTAATGGTGTTTTTTACCATTCGGTCGCTGGAATTGATAAGGTAATACGACACGTAGTCGCTATGCAAAAGATATTCCACCCAGGAAGACTTTCTACAAGTAATTGACTCCAATTTAGATGTTTAAGACACGGAGAAAACCAAGAAACTCCACTCGGCCAGCCTGTTGAGGCGCGAACCCGCGACCAACTAACTGGTGTTTTCACTCACTCAGACGATAAATTACATATACGATCAAATTTTTCTGATTTTTTTTAATCGTTAATTAAAATCTTTTCCTATTTTCACATCTCTTTCGTTCTAATACAGAAATTTCAACAACCCGCATAGGAAAGGACATTTTACTGCACTAATCGACACGCACAATTTCCAATCTCGATTTTATTGTTTCATTCGCTTTGCTAGTAATTGCCGAATTGTGATTTTGGTCACATACGGTTAATGGTCTTTGACATTTCATTACTGTTCGCTGCGATCTGTGAATTTGAATGACGTTCTCAATAAAACCAAAACAAACTAATTAGTCTTTAAATTTAGTCATTAAATTGTAAAAATTGTTTATACTTTAGATTTATTCCCTTTTGATAAATTTCTTAAATATTTTGAGAGCTTTAACCGATAGTATGATAAAATATAACTTTTTACATTTTCTCAAATAAAAAATTTCTCCGAAAAATTAGTTTAAAATTACAAATTTAATTTCTTTTTATTTCTGTTCTGTGGGCATAATCTTTTAATCGAACCCATCGTGGCTGGCCAGGCCCACAATGGGCAGAGTGATGGGGAAGGGGCCTCGACATATCTGACGGATTATGCCCTCGAGTTTATAATTTATCAAATACAGGTCTAGTCCCACAAGTGGCAACTATCGAATACTGGTGGTAAGTCGCGGGTTCGCACCCGACTAACGGCTTGCCACGTGGAGTTTTCCTGGTTTTCTTCACGTGTCTAATAAGTTAGAGACCAGTTTCTCGTACAATGTCCTCCGGGTGGCGCCTCGTTGGCAGATCGCCCATGCGTTGTCTTATTCCGCCAAACCACCACAAACTCCTTAGCAAACATGTATAATTTAGTAGAAGTAAATTTAAAATTGTATGCCGTAAAATATAAAGTATAAATGGTAATTTTTCTATAATTAAAACAAAAACAAAAATTAATCGAATTAAAATAATAAATCAAAGCACTCGGAGAGCGATTTTTCCGATTTACCTCGAGGTGTTTGGCAAAGAATTCTTTATAAGATCACTTTAATTATCATCGTTGCATACTTTTCTACATCAAAAAATTTAATATATAAATAATTTTTAAATTAATATAATTATTTACGTGTAAAATTAAGTCGTACGTATCAATTTAAATCCAAGCGGTTGATATCGATTCAAAAAAGTGGGCAGGCAGGGAACCCCCGTTGTAACTGTTTTTCTTAAATAAACAAGCCTCGAAAAATATTGAAACAGAATTCAACTCTTCTATCAATCGATAAGTTTTCTGTTTGATCCCCTTAAATTCATCATCCTCAACAGGATTTCGATCCGATCAGCATCACCGTCAACCGTAACGACTATGATCGATAGAATCGTGCAAACAAGATTAAATGCAAACCCTCTAAATTTCCTCTCCATCTAATTATCTTTGGACCGTTTACTAAATATTTCTTTCTGTGAAGGATTTATTCAAATCAACTACTTTTCTATTTTCGAATTGATTTATCATCAATTCTGATAGGACGGATCGCGCATGAAGAGTCAGTGTATTGCAAATGTAGAATTTTTTCATCAAAGCATTACTTTAATTGAAAATTGTCAATTATCCGGATTCGTGTCACGATAATTGATAATTCTGCTGATTCTTATCAGCATAATTACGCGAATAAAACGATTTTATTACGTAAAAAATATATGTACGAAGTCGCTCGGTCCACGTCTTACTTCTTAGCGCTCTTCCGGAAAAAAAAGATGCTTTAATTTATAGACAAAAAAATTAGTTTTTGTGAAGAACTTTCCCATTATTTTAATCCTAATTTAATAATATAATAAAGACAAATTAAGATTATACCGGTTCTTCCCATTTCTAGGCAACGCAATGTACATAATTTACATATAATTCAATTTAGTTGCATATAATTTAATAGTGTCTTAGTTGTTAAAAATTTATAATTTTTAAAAATTTTATACGGTCCTCATTGCGAAATTTTAAATTTAATACTACGCCGTAGCGTAGAGAATTAGTAGGGCCAGTTTGGTCTAGGCCTCCTTAATGAGGGCCCCAAAAACATTGCAAATTATTCGTTCCATTGTATTTCCCATATATTAAGAAAAAAAAACACCTTATATTTTGACAATTTTCATTATTTATATGATATAAAACAATTTCATAATGCTGTTTTTTTTAAATACACTGGAGGCCTCAGAAAAGCAAATGTGGGCTTCGCTCTCTATAAGATTGTATGATTAGGGCCTCTTTTATGAGAAGATTTGCTTAAGATTCGTTTATAGAATGTTTAAAAACCACAATAAAACAACCGATTCACTTATATTAATTTAAAATTAAATCGATATTTAAAAAAAGTAGGGCTTTATATATGGAGTAATTATAACGATATTAACTTAAAATTCGTCAGAGAGACGAAGGGCGATGCAGTCAAATGTAAACACTTATTACAAAACTAGTTAAAAGTCTTAACAATGATACATGAGAGAATTAACTTCACTCGAAAATATGCCTGACCTGATACAATCGGTCGTTTAGATTTAGTAAAGTTAATCCAGGATAATGCAACTAATTAACAAAAATGAGAACACCATTCTCTTCGCTTTACTGAACAATTTTAATCGACTTTTAAAATAAAATTATTAAAATTTTAAATGTTTTAAGGCTAGTCTTTACCGATTTTATACGCTTCTTTTACTGTATAAATTTATTTAATTTTTTTCCTGTCTTAATTACTGTTTATAATAGCATTATGGCAAGTTTCAGCTGGGCCGGTATATTTACAAGGGCCTCTATAAAAATACAGAAGGCTATATTTATGAATACCGTATAAATGTAAAGTAGATATTTGCACGAGCATTAGTGGCCACAGAGGCCTCAACTATAGATCTCAAGTAGTTTGTCGCAGGTTTGCGTCTCACCAATTGTTGAATTCTTAGTGTTTTCTGAGTTTTCTTCACGTGGCTAGTACCTAAACAGGGGCTAATTTCCCATAGAACGTCTTCCTGGGAGGCATTCCCCCTTAGCAGATCGCCTATGTGTTGCGTTACCTTACCATCAGCAACCAAATGGATAAAACCACCGAACACTGATAGCTGGTCGCGGGTTCGCGCCCCTCCAACTGGCTGGTCACGTGGAATTTTCCGGCTTTTCTTCGCGTGTCTAATACCTAAATAGGGGCCAATTTCCCATAAAAGACCTCCCGGGAGGCATCTTTCTCTCAGTAGATTGCCTGTGTGCCAGGTTGCCTTAAATCATCAATCCTTATCCCTACAATCCTACATCCCTGGGGCCCCACATAAATAATTGCTTCTCTGGGTTTAAGTCTAAGAAAAATGTTAGAAATAACGTTATTTTATTTACGTGTTCAAATAAAATTAGTTCTTTGTAGGGCCTTCAATCAAGAAATGATTCCTGACTTCACTTTCTAGATCTGTAGTTCTTTTCTAAGAAATTTATTTCCCAGAAAAGAATTACAGAAGCAGAAAGTGTATCAAAGAATAAAGAAGAAAAAAATTCCTTTTAGTAGAATTGTATTGAACATCAGAAGGCTATTGATCACTCTTCGTTAATTTCAAGACTATCATTATTTCGAGGATTATCATGTATACTACAACTTCTTGTAGAATTAAATACAAGCACCTATTTGGTAAGCTCCCTTATTCCACCTCAAGCTCTCTTATAAGGGAGTTTTGGGCTTTAACCCCTCCCATTTTTTAATTTAAACGGAAGAATGTTACTATATCTATATTGTAAAAAATGTATAAATTATATTTTAAGGCTCCAACCTTAAAAATTCTGCACGCGAGCCTTTCTTAGGCATATATTCTGCAATTATTAATGTGCATTTGCATTTTAAGTCTTCATGTAAGTAATACAAGAGCCATAGATGGCTCTTTATATACACTGTGGTTCCAATCGTATATTGTTTGTTTACATGTGTTTTATATGCGTAGCTTCTTGTTTAAAGCCCCTAAATATATAATCCCGCTAATTATTTGTATTGATATATTCAAATATATGAAAAACCTATTATGTGTACAGACAGCTGAATGGATAAGGCGGTTAAGGCGTCAGTGTACAGCTGAGAGGAATCCGGGTTCGAATCCGAACGTGCAATCCAGAAAATTTTCTTGGATTGTAAGTTCTGAATGTGTAGGACATGTCTGCCCTATTGCGTTCGTGGTAAACCCACGTTTTGGTATGGGAAAAAAGGCCCTCTCAGTGCCTGTAGAATGGGAGGGGGGAATGTAAGTGTTTTTAGAGTTTAACACAGTTAATTAGTAGAGAAATAATGGCAATTCTTTCCTTAAAAAAAAGATGAATACCCGAAATTGCTGAAAACTCATTGGAAAATTATTGAATAAAACCAAGATAAAAATCTCTCCCTCATCTAACACCGGATATTCTAAGAGATAACAGCTACTAATTTAAAATAATGACTCACGAAGCTTGTATATAATTAAATGACCGTTGTGATCATACTTAATTATCTCACTCACTCTTGATGTAGACAGGCGTCCTGGGACTTCATTAAGACAATGGAGCAAATAGGGTTCAATTATAAAAGATCTTAAAATTTCTACACTAATCAGTTAGTTGACAAGATCAGTAATTTCAAAAAATTCTACAGTAATCAGTTAGTTGACAAGATCAAAGTTTGAATTGTCGAAATACTATTCAATTTAAACAATTTCGGTCATTTTAAACTGAATTAAAACTATTAAATTGGGTTATACTACCATTATAAAGGAATTTTAATCTTATCTGCTTTTANTTGAATATGTGATGATTGCCTTAAAGCCAAATGATTTGTGTTTCAAAACAGAGGCCAATAGAGACATGGGATTGTTTATAAAATAGAATGAACTTAGAGGCAAATTAATTTACAGTTATAAGTTTTACGTAGAATATTTTTAAAAATAAAATTGTAAAAGCTAGCATATAATTTAAAAAAATTATAGTGTGATTATGATTTAAACAGTCTGATTTTAAAATAATAAAACCTTATAATGTTTTATTCTAGGTGTAAAAATTAATTCATTGGATACATTTGTACAAGTTTAAAAACCTGTGTACAAAGTTAGTCTCTAGCTATAGTAATGAAAACGGTACTTGTGTGTTATTTACGTCAAAATATAAATAATACGCAAGTGCCGTTCGCTCGTTCACTAAATAAGTTGTTAAAATGTACAGTATTTGTATAGGTATTGTACAAATACACTTCAATTGTAACATTCAGTTGATTTTTAGTACAGTATTAGTTTTTGTTTCAATTGATTATTAAATTTTGGTGGTTAAAGGTTGAGGAGGTCGTGTGTCATGTCCAGAGTTGCACTGAACTTAATGAACATTTTACTCATTATTAGCATTTACAGTTTTTTTTATAAAACTTGTCTCTAACTTCAAAATTAAGATTTATTATTATTAAATTGCAAAAAGAATATAAAAAATTTTTTTAAATCTTGTAACATATGGTACCCCACACAATTTTAACTTTCTAAGAAAGTTATGCAACTCTCTACTAGTTTTGAATTAAATTGAATTGGAAAAAATATATTTGAAATATTGGAATAATATATGGAATAATCCAATATTGGAAATATATATATTTATTTTTCCAATATTTTACTTGTTTGATATAAATCACATGATTTTCTGATCAATAAATCTCATTTTTTTATAGAATTTATATCAGTTTTAAGCTTTTATAACTCCATTTAATGAGTTTTTTAAATTATTGAAGTTTTATTTTATGATTTAAATCATTTCTTAAATTGTTCATTCATGTAGAATTTATTAAATATGATAAAAAAAAAGTTATAATAATTCTTAAATTTTCTTTTTTAATTCTAGTGAATATTATGTGTAAATTAACTATAAAATGACTTAAAATCAGTTTTCTGAATCTTCATAATATTTTATTTGCTATTTTTTTTCTTTTTTACAAATTATTTAAATTTTAAAATTTTTTGGTTACGTTTTATTGAAAAAAGTGGGATGTTTCGTAGTAAACGTGATCTTGTTTCGTTCATTGGTCAGAAATTCAAATAATAAACACGTAATTTCATCGTTAGTAATCAAGCCTATCAACACCTCCGATAAATGCGATTGACACAATGAAGAAAGACTGTGATTGGTTACATTTTTATTCATTTTCTCAATCCAACCAATCAGAGAAGATAGCGCTCATTTTTTGTTTTATACGTGATCTTATCTTGTTCAGAATATCGCAATTTAAAAGAAAATAACAGGTTAGTGATAAATTAATCGATCAGCATGCCACAGCATCCCCATCGTGGATCTGACTGGATCCACTACGGCTTCAAAAAATGCTCTCTTAGTACCCACAAGGTGGAGAGTAAAATAAATAAATAAATAAAATAAAATAATAATAAGTAAACAAATTCAAAATACCTGTTAATTTGTGTATTTTATTAGACAACAGTGCAAAGGTGTTTTCTTATATAATACCTAATATTCAGTGAAGAAAATAGTAACAAATTGGATTAAACATGGCAGATCGATGGCTCAAAAAAAATGCGCTAATCCATCTACCTAAGGTAGGATGATTTCTTAATCTTTCTTTTGATCCGTGAACCCCTTTTTCTAGTCATGTGAAGATCATGAATGTCATATTATTTCAATTCAAAATTTCCCCCAAAATAAGTTAGATGACCAGCACGATTCTATTGCTAACAGGAAAAGTATGAGGTACAGAGACAAGACACTATTAATTTGGGGTGGAGAACATATATTTTAAATTAAATGAATAAAAAATATGATTAGAAATTGTAGCTTGGCATTGTGTGTGTGGAGGGAGGGGGAAAGATTTTGTTCGCTCACTTTGAAGTTCAATAACTCATGTGCCTTTTGTCGAAAATTCTGAAATTTGGTATGGGGTTTGTGCTCATAATACACAAACCCCATACCATGCTATTAAATTTTAGTGGTTAAAGGTCGAGGGGGTAGGGAGATAGAGGGAGTCACGTGTCGAATCTCGAGTGGGGTCAGACTTAATGAACATTTTATTCGATATTAGCATTTGCAGTTTCTTTTTTTTTTTATAAAGCATCTCTATCTTCGAAATCTTTCTGCCATTTTATAATAATTAATAATATAAAAAGTTTTTTTAATAAAATCTCGTAACAGATGGCGCCATACAATTTTAACTTTTTGCCAAGAAAGTCACGCAACTCGTTGCTGGATTTTTTCTTCAGTTGAACACATATGCATTTAAAAAGTCAAGGCCTGTATTTTAAATTAAATAAATTAAAAATTGCAGCCGTTAATAAATGCTCGTGTATTTAGCGTTTTATATGTTCAGTATGAATACTTGGACTGCTAACGATGATCACACGAACTAAAACTTCGATAAGAAAACACAGTACAGTAGTGTAATATCAATACACATTCGTGTACAAAAATAAGCATAATCGCCCAGTCTATAAATAGGAGGTCTAATTAGTTGGAGAGAGCGCGGAACTCGATGCAATCTGGACTGGTATTAATTAAGCTTAATGGATGCAAGTTTTTGCATTAATGTTAAATTACGTGAAACTTCTACGAGGTGCCGTGGATGCATATTTTATTTTCATGGACGACAATGCCACGTACTACATAAGGCTTCACTCGTCAATGACTATCTTGACAGTGAAGATATTCGTCCCACGGAATGGGCAGCAAGATCTCGGGGCATATATCCCACATAACGTGGTTGCGATGCTCCAGAAAATCAAGTTGCATTTTTCCAGCCTCCAAGAATACCTTGATAACTTTAAGATGCTCGGGTTCAAAAATGGCTAGCAACCCTGTCGGGTTTACTCCCCGAAAGACTTGATAAGCAGCAGCTCGAGCATTCGCTATGCAACGTGTGCATGTGCAGAAAGCAACCACATGCTAAAGTAATCATTTTTTTGTGCAGTAACGATTTACGAAAATGCTTAGTAATTTCCGTAATTATTTACATTACTCGCGGGCGTTTATTCTCGTTTTTTTTTAAATTGCGGCGTTTTTCTTAACTTTTTTTAAGTAGCATATTCCATAGATATATCCAAAACAGGTGAAATTTTTTGGGAATGACCCATATAAAAAGTTCTTTAAACAAAAAAAAATCTGTCAATTTTTACTTTAACGTTTTTGGACTCGGGGGCATCGAAACGTGGAGAAATTCAAAAAAAAAAAAAACTTTGGGCTTTTTATGTATGGATGGGGTACGATTTTTTCACCAGCTTTGAAGCTTAATAACTCCTGTACCTTTTGTCGAAAATTTCTGGAATTTTGCAGGGATGTTTGTGTATTAGGAGCGTTGGTGTTATTGTATTTTGATGGTTGAAGGTCGAGGGAGTGGGGGAGATGGAGGGAGGTGACGTGTCGTATCTCGAATGGGGTCGACTTGTAAAGATTTTACTCGTTGTTAGCATTTGCATTTTTTTTTTTTTTTAATAAAACTCTGATCTACCCTCGAAATTGAGCTTTTGCCATTTTATAATAATAAAAAAGTTTTTTAAATAAAATCTCGTAATCAGATGGCGCCACACACAATTTTAACGTTTGACCAGGAAAGTTATACAAATCGTTGCTGGATATTTAACATAACCGTTCAAAAAACTTACTTTATTATATAGCGGATACTCCATCGCCCGGATTAGTTCATAGTTCGTTAAATCGAGGTTTTACTGTAATTACCAATAAGTACAGTACCTAGTTTTAAAGGTCCTGTTACAAAGACTTTGGACTAATTCTATTTAATTTATCTACAATCTTTGTAGATTGTAGATAAATTAAACAAAAACTTGAGGTCCAGTTAATATATTACTTAATATATTGACTAGACCTGACGATTTTCAGCAAAATTTCAAAGAAAAATTAAAAAAAAAAAAACTACATACCAACAACTAAAAATTGCTTAGTCCTCGGCGAGTCACGTGAGAAGGCAAGGTCACGTGCTTTGAAAAAAATGATAGTGTTGCCAACTTTCATACAAAAGACTATTATTCTGTTTTATACGATAATTATTTTTTCGGTATTTACATCTTAAACATTACGCGCTGTTTTAATTATTTAATTCTCTCGATATTATTTACTTAAAATAAAGCAAAAAAAAAAATGTTAATAATAAACCGAGGAAAATAATGAGATACTATCGATAGTATTATCTATCATCGAATTCTATGGGGACTCTTGTAACTATCAATATTTTTCCTATCGATAGTATTCAAAGTATTATCACTTTCGCTTATCTCTATGGGAGACCCGGAAACGTATGAAACGGATAAACATCTCCAGAAATTTTTTGCGGGTGGTCCATCCCACATATATTGGACTCAGTCCTTCACCACCGACAGCCCATTTGGGCCTGGCCAAACCCTGATAGGTAGAATAAAAGCCGTCTTAATATCCACAGGAAGAAGAGTTTAAAAAGGGGGACTGGCCATACACTACTTGTCCATAACTTATTGTTATTCAGATCAACACTATCATTTTTTTTTTACATTGCGATTAGCCATCAATAAAATTTCTTTCATAATGTTAACCTTTTTAATCAATTTACATTTTTTTACTCGACTACACAAGTAAACTAAAAATGTTTCAAGTAGTAATTGGATAAGATTGTTTTTCGGTTTGATAAAATAAGGTTATTCAACACGATAGCGATTTTTCAAGAAGGAATGCCTCACGGCAAGGCTTGCTACAAGAAATTGGACCTTGTTTAGGTACTAGACATATGAAACCGTGAAAATGCCACGCGGTCAGTCCGTTGGTCAGACAAGAACCCGCGACCAACTTCAGTATTTAGCGGTTTTACCCCTTCGGCCACTAGCGAACTCCCGAAATGAGAAAATTTTAGGAACTGGTTGCGTGACCGGCTGAATTTCATCTCTAATTTAAATCTTAATGAAACCCTTTTATTTAAAACTCAGACTAAGCATTCGTCGTCTGCTCCGACGCAATTTGCATGACTTAATTTGATGGAAGAACGGCACGCTTTCACGTCGCCATATTTGAACATTAAAATCGATTACATAGAATTCTAAACAGAAAAGTTATTGTAAAAATACATTTTAATGAATTAAATAATTTTTATCTTTTTTAATGTCATTTTTATTTGCATATTAATGTATGCATAATAAACAAATTTAGTTTTATTTTTAAATCTGTAAATGCATTTTGTAGAGTTGGCAACGTCAGTTGTATGAACACAATCAGAAGAAATCGTTAAAACAAGGTATGGTGGTTTATGTACTCTGCATGCTTTATTTAATCAAAAATTAAATATAGAACGATTTATTTAATGTTTTCGAATATGAAATAATAAAATATATTTGATATTTATATTTTCATTACTTTAAGATTGTATACTAAACTAAGGGAAAGGGCCTTTAGATAATTATGATTAGTAGGGGTTACTTTTAGGTAAATTGTACATATGTAAATATAATATATCGATTTAAAAGTAACTTCTACCCAAAAGTGCCAATAGATTGATCATTTGATATTGAACTTTCATTAAATTTTTGAATGTTTATATATTTAAATGCTGTTTACAGTTATTTAAACAGTATTTACAAAACAAGAAAAGTGTTTATGCAGATATTGTATGTAATATATTGTATATATACATGTTTATAAGTATATTGTGGATTAGATGTGTCATATAATTTAATTAAGCTTATCATATATCATCTTTCAGGACCACAGCCGTAAGAGTTAAGGGGGTCTTTTTAGCAAACCCGTTATGGGTTCGGCCATGCCTGCAATCGAGCGGTGAGGGACGGGGCCTCGACGTATCCGGATGGACCACCCTCTGAAAAATTCTTGGGGTTTTTTGAATTGATCCCGGGTCCTCGGGAGTGGTAGGATGAAACCTTAACTGCTTGGCTTTCTGGCTGTCAAATATCATTGTGGCATACTGATGGCGAATTAATTGACTAGATCTAATAGTATGGCAATGCTTCCTGTGTGTGTAATAATGCTTTGATATAAATACAAGAAAATACTGATTAAATGTCCTAGAAGTAACTTCCACCAGTATAGTTTAATATTTTAATGCTGAATTTGAATTGACACTTGCCACTCTATTTGTCTCTTTTCTAATGAATATCTATAGATCTTAATATCAATAATTATCTTAACCAATTGTCTGTTATGGTCTTGATAACCCAAAATAACAATTGACTTTATTAGTTCTTCATGTTCATTGTTCTCTTTAACTTTCTGTTAAATTTCAGCCATAAAATGTGGTATTAGCTGTAATGCATAACATAATTATAGAAAAACAGATAAGTAAAACTGAATACTTCCTTGTTTCAATTTTACTTATTAAAACAATAACTATTGTTTCAATTTTACTATACAGTATCAGACCAAATATCTGACAAGCTTGAGACTGGAAGTGATCTGAATTTTTGGATTTTCTGGATGTGGGCTAAATGTATACTTAATTAAAATATAAAATTAAGAACAAAATTGTATTTAACTGATAAAAATTAATGCATGGCCTGTTTGATTATTATTAATCCTCTTAAAATATAGAATACTCTGTGTAGTATAATATTTAGAATGAAAATTAAACAAAGAAAACAACGTAACAGAAGTAGCATCGTGCAACATGTATGCCACGACAAAATCAAAACAAAGCAGCCGAGTCGTGAATTACAACTGGGATATAACCTGCCAAATTCAAAACTAGTCAGTTTTTCTGGTAATTCTGTATCTTTGGAAGCCAGTTAATTGGTCCGTTACTATATTTGAACTAGTATTTGAGTGAGCAAGATCGATTGGTTGGTAGTAGTCTGAATGTCGTGTAATTATTTTTGCACCCAGGTAACCTATTTAAAAGATTGTATACAACATAAAAAATCAAATCATAAATGAGCAAAATGGTTTAAATTATAGAAATTGTTTACTAATCTTATTAGCTGCTATATTATTAATATTTAAAATAAGATGTTTTATTATATAAAAGTACTTTATCCTTGTTGTTATATGACTTTGATAAAAAGAAAAGAAGCAGTTGTTTTTATTTATTATTCATTAATAAATTTTGTAATTAATTGCAAAAAGTATCAATTTATTACATTTGTTTCTTAATAAGTTTCTAATTTTTATAAAATATTAGAAAACTGTAAGAAAATTAGTTAGAAATTAATTCCTTTTTTTTTTTTTTTTTGATTACACAATTGAAATTATTAAAATGATAAATGCTACAAATTAATTTACAGTTATAAGTTTTACGTAGAATATTTTTAAAAATAAAATTGTAAAAGCTAGCATATAATTTAAAAAAATTATAGTGTGATTATGATTTAAACAGTCTGATTTTAAAATAATAAAACCTTATAATGTTTTATTCTAGGTGTAAAAATTAATTCATTGGATACATTTGTACAAGTTTAAAAACCTGTGTACAAAGTTAGTCTCTAGCTATAGTAATGAAAACGGTACTTGTGTGTTATTTACGTCAAAATATAAATAATACGCAAGTGCCGTTCGCTCGTTCACTAAATAAGTTGTTAAAATGTACAGTATTTGTATAGGTATTGTACAAATACACTTCAATTGTAACATTCAGTTGATTTTTAGTACAGTATTAGTTTTTGTTTCAATTGATTATTAAATTTTGGTGGTTAAAGGTTGAGGAGGTCGTGTGTCATGTCCAGAGTTGCACTGAACTTAATGAACATTTTACTCATTATTAGCATTTACAGTTTTTTTTATAAAACTTGTCTCTAACTTCAAAATTAAGATTTATTATTATTAAATTGCAAAAAGAATATAAAAAATTTTTTTAAATCTTGTAACATATGGTACCCCACACAATTTTAACTTTCTAAGAAAGTTATGCAACTCTCTACTAGTTTTGAATTAAATTGAATTGGAAAAAATATATTTGAAATATTGGAATAATATATGGAATAATCCAATATTGGAAATATATATATTTATTTTTCCAATATTTTACTTGTTTGATATAAATCACATGATTTTCTGATCAATAAATCTCATTTTTTTATAGAATTTATATCAGTTTTAAGCTTTTATAACTCCATTTAATGAGTTTTTTAAATTATTGAAGTTTTATTTTATGATTTAAATCATTTCTTAAATTGTTCATTCATGTAGAATTTATTAAATATGATAAATTTCCTTATATCTGTAGCATGTTCAGCAAATTGTCATTTAATATTTAAAGTTTTTTTTTCCATCAATGTTTTCTAAGAAATTCTAGATTTTTACATCTTTTTTATAGAACTCAGTGAACAAACAAGCCATCCATTATTACTAATATTTGATATCTGAAAATATCTTATGAAGTAGTATTAACTCTTGCAAATGGTAAACACTACTCAGTAAAATGTTAGTTTCAGCGTTGAATTAATGTTTAATTTAATAAATGTTGCGTTAACGTTTGACTGATTTTTGTGGAATTTTCAAAACTAGATAAGAGTTAAAATAAAATAAAAATGCATCTAAAATTTAGAAAGAATAATTTAAAATGGTAGAGGAATGATATATTTAATGATATATTTGGAAAGTGAATTGGGAGTTCTATTTAATATTTAATGAGTACTGTAATTTTTATATATTTACATCAAAATTTAATAATTTTAATATTAATTTAATTTAAATCCGTGTTGTATATCCACGTCAGAATTTAATAATTAATTATCATTAAAATTTTATATTAGTTTGAAAAATTGTCTTTCCGAGATTGATCCATAAAAATGTTGAAGTCTTTCATGAATTATATATTCGCCACTCTTTTCTACTTGTAGCTAAGCTGCGAAACTGTTAGAAAATGTGAAAAATATTCACAATTGCAGAAATACTATTTATTCAGTTCTAAGCTGTCTTCATCCTTTTTCTTTCTGTATTTATAAAGAGTAATAATCTTGGTTTGAGTATTCATCCTTTCAATATGTTTCTACCAATAGAATTATTTAAAGTTTATACTAGGTACTGTTAGTTTCTAGTAGTTTAACAGTTGATTTTCTTTCTGTATGCAGAGGGGAGTCAAAAAATATTGCACAATATTTCATTATATTAGAACAGAAATGGGTGAACTTCAAACTCTATAATTCTTCTGTGTAGTCCCGTTGCTCATCAATTGTGACTTGCCACTGTTTTGGGAGGTCTGCTATTTTGTCTGCTCTTCATTTTCATCAAGCTCCTGGATGTTCTGGGTAACAGCAGCGTATAGTGTGGCTATGCACATAAAATAAAAATGGGACGATCATCGAGACACCATACATTGATCTACAACAGAATCACATGAACTTCAACAAGTGTTGCATGAATCTCTGTCAGTGTTTTTTTATATAAGGAATGATTGTGATCAACTCCTGGGATTCTCTGGACTAAACAATTAAATTTTAATCTTTTTAATTAATTAATTAATTAATTATTGTATATTTATATTTCAATACATTTATGCAATGAATTTAAAAACTGTATTTAAATTGAAAAGTTTTATTATAACAAATGCATTTGTAAATTATTGATCGAAATGGCAGAAAAATTTTCTTTTGACAAATTGCAGCTTGAAAGTAATGAGTATATTGACCAAATTTGAATATGTGATGATTGCCTTAAAGCCAAATGATTTGTGTTTCAAAACAGAGGCCAATAGAGACATGGGATTGTTTATAAAATAGAATGAACTTAGAGGAAAGTCATAAATTGAATTGAATTAAAACTTTCTAAAAAATGTATGAATGTTTTTGTCAGAAAGTAACAACTTTAAGCTATTGTTCTGCATTGCATAGTAAAGTCCTTACACACTGACTTGTGAGCGATGCATAAGTCACACAGTAAGGAATGCAGCACAAAGATAGGAAAATGAGAAATACGCATTTTACCGTGTATGCTTGAAATGCAAATTAGCATTTTATGCAATCTTTTCTTGTTATTTGTGCATGTAGGATGTCTTTTTACTAAATGAGTTCTTACTAAATGACTGTTACAGAACCATGTAATAGTACATGCTCTGTAATAGACATTTTTCTCGTATCATGTATCGTTTTCAAGACTGGAGTGTTAACTTCTCTATTTTACCAATATAGATGCCTTAAGCAACATTGTCTTGAAGCACATAGTCACTTTACTATAACTATATGTCACATTCGTAATTGTATCTTTGTCAGTTACAAGGGTAAACTATAGCTTTGTCAGTTATGAGGGTATGAAAGACTTTACTATTGCACCCTGTATATCCACACAGTTTGGAAGTTACATTTAGATGAGGTGTTAGTTTTGGCCATAGTAGCTATGGTCTAAAGTTCTTTCAATATCCTTTTGCTTGTTGATTTCTGACAAATGCAAACAATTTGTCCCTTGAATCATTCTGATTTTATAGATAGATTGAATACATACTTGCTGCAATCTGGGTTGATAGCGATCCTTTGTTAGTGTTAGGCAAGTATTTAAAAAGTTATCAGTCTTTTGGGTTTGATTATTTCTCTAAAGTAACAGTCAGCAACCGGTGGTCCAGGACCATTGATGGTCCGCAAGAAAATTTGGGTGGTCCATGGAGAAATTTGAACATTGATCAACTAAAGGTTACGTGAAGTATTATGAAAGAAATGCAAAATGCTTAGTTGCTTTTTTCACTCATTGGGATTTTTTATTCAAATCTAAAACCAAAAACGACATGACTGTTATCAATAAATAATGAACAATAAACAATATTGTGAGTGCAATCGTTGTCCTTCGTGGAAAAGCGCTAAGAATCCATAAACTTGTTTCAAACAAGCAGCAATGAACTTTAGGCTTGCGTTAATTTTTTATAATTAAACATGCAAATTTCATGTTAATATAGTAAAATTGAACTTAAGATATTTATTCTACAGATTTTGTATCATTTAAAAAAATTCATGATAGTGGTGCGCGGGATTCAAAATTGTGACTTTAGTGGTCCGTGAGGTCAGAAAGTTTGCCGACTGCTGCTCTAAAGGGTAAGCTTTTCCTGCCTACAAATATAGCCCGTCCAAGGCTGTAACACAGAAGGATGACTAAACTGGCAAAGTATGAATTTTTTTCTATGTTTATTTCTTAGAGTCACTGCTGTTAAAGAACTCTAGTAACCAGTTGCATAACTTGCCTGGCAAACAGATTTAAAATTGCGGTGGCACCATCTGTTATAAAAAGTTTTTTAATACCATATTATTACTTATTATAAAAGTGGCAAAAAGTTAGCTTTGAGGGTTTTATAAAAAATTGTAAATGCTAATAACAAGTAAAATATTAAGTCTGACTCCACTCGAGATGGGGGACATGATCCCCTTTATTTTCCCACCCCCTTGACCTTTAACCAGAAAAATTTAATAGCATTGACCCCTTAATACACAAACCAAATGGCTTTTTCAGCGCATCAACGATTACAAAATCAAAATATCGAAAATACCCACATCCTGCAGTATTAAATATTCAGCAAAGATTTAATTCATTTTTGTAGAAGTAAAAGTAAACAAGCATATCCATCTGATTAGTGTGAAAATTTGCTTTTATCTTTAAAAATCAAGATTACTTATTGTGATGTGGTCACAACACCAGCTGCAATTTTAATTTATATATAAATAAATAATATCTAGCCTCAATTTTTATCTTTCTAACTCTGAAAACTTAATGCAATTGAATTTTAGAAATTTATACTTCAGTAAATATAAAAACATTTAAATGATTAAATTCAAGTGTTTACAGATGCACCTCTTAATGATAGACCACGTATTTGGCAGAGGTCCCATAAGATTATAATGGAGACGAAAAATTGGTAATCACCCATATCTTTTCTACATTCAGATACATATGTAAACTGTACACGTGATGAATATTTCAGTAATAGACTGTACCGTGTAAGTTTGATTAACAAAGGGACTTAATGACAAATTTCACCGAGCGTATCCCATCATTAAGGGGCACATAACTGTATTTTAGATCAGATAAATAAAATAAATTAAAATTTAAACTAAAATTTCATTAATTCTTTACAGGGCTGATTGGACATTTTTATTAAGATCAGAATGTGTTCGATCGATCTCGCCTCTCCAAATTTTGCTAAGTAAGTAATTTGTTTTAAATTATTGAAATTAATATAAAAAATGCAAGATTAGTATTATAAGTCTGTTTGAAAATACAAAGTTTGCATTCTGTATACAGTCAAACCTTGATGTAGTATCTTTCTAAATAGTACCGCCCTCATAAAGTATCGATGAATAATTGTGGCACTTGATGGAAAAACTACGCATCTGCAAAACTATAAAAACCCGTCTACACCCAAACAGATTGTTTAAAAAATTTTGACAATTACAAACCTCTGACCACACCGACCTTTCATTAGCAGCTATTTAGCTGTCATATAAAAAAATCAGCAATAAAAATGTCCCAAACACAATATTTGGCAACTCCTTTTGTGTCCCGCCAGAGCCATTGAAAGGGTCGCAAGCTTGTTGAACTGCCAAGATTGGGCATGATTCAAAAATGTTACATATAAAGTTTCTGGTGATTTACTGCTTGCTACCAGACACGCCAATCTTCCAGGTGGGCTAGATAGTGACTGCCCAACTAATTGGTAGTGGTGAATGATACCTTTAGTTCAAACAAACTGGTTACAATGACAACATCATTACTTATCATTACGTTACTTTGAAACCTATAAACATGCTGAAATTTAATACAAATTCTTGTTTGGTTAATTTAAAAATAGCAATTGAATAAATTGTACTTAAATAATTTATTATTTACTGTATTTACTGGGTATAAGACGATCTCGCGTATAGGACGAGGTGTGACTTAAGAGATCAAAATAAAGAAAATTAGATTTATTAATACAATTCTAATTTTAATTCGTTTAATCACAAAATATTATCAAATGCATGTATTAAGGCAAACATGATTGTTTACCTTAATACGTGATGAATGGAAAACAAAACCAAAACATTATAGTGAGTGTGACTGGAAAAAGTTTATTTTTAATGATTCAGAATGTGCTAATATTCATTAAAAATAACAGTTTAACTAATATAAAATAACTACATTTATAATCATTGCTAAGTGATTTGTATTTCATTAATGTTTTTATAAATAACGAGAAACTATTTTCTGCGAACGAATGAGATGCAACACAGTTTTTAATTGATGGATGTAGGATTAAACCAATAAACAAAGGGGTGTGTGTCTTAATTTGTTTACAGTAGGTGCCAACTTATGATAAATAGACTGTAGACCTATAATGTCAGCATGAAGTATACACGGTTCACAGAAATTATTGCAAAAACACAAAGAATCCTTTGTTCGTGCATATAGGACGACCTAGGTTTTTGAAGCAATGAAATAATTGAATGAATAAAAACCTCATCTTATATGCAAGTAATATGGTAATTAATTATTTTGTTATTAGTTGCCTCGGTGTAACTTGTAAGTCACTAATTACATGAACCAGGAGCTAGATTCACAAACACCTCGTATCGTAACTTATGAGGACATTCATTGTAAGTTGCCAGATGCAAAAAGTCTTGTATTTGCAATGCACATTGTAAGCTACAATATTGTAAAAAGTCTCGTAACTACTACGATATCGAAGAGCTCTCGTAAGTCTAGGTCTAAGTGGTTGAGTATTTGGTTCTATTGATAGATAATCAATTCTAACGTGTTTTTCTTATTATTTCTTGTAAACTTTTCTGATTTGAAATAAAATGCTACCTTTGCTTAGACCACAGGTTAAATACCACGTGCAGTGAGGAAATTCGAAAAGAAATGTTTTCCTATTAACTCTATTAAAACAGAGGTGGTTGCTAGTGATATCATAAGACACACTCTCATTACCAATTCCTGTTTTATCATAAGTGCTGTGATTTGTTTTGTGAATATGAAGTATAAACCATTGTTAGTTTCTAATAACTTTACAATATTGGAGAGATACTATGTTGTATCTTACGAGATGTTCATGAATCTGGGTTCAGATCTGTATCGTTTGCATAATTGGATACAGCAAATTAGGACTTTTACAGCTAAACCAATTACTAAATTTGGAGTTATTTTGGTATATGTATAGTAATTTATTTGAATGAATTAGTGTTTATATATTTTCTTATTTTATAGATTAATTCACTTAGATTTAAAAGGAGCAGCTCCAAAATTATCTTACTGTGAACAGGTAGGTATTTTAATAGAATAATAGTATTTATTTCATTAATAAAATGTATTTAATGATCATAAATATATTTTTCTATAGAGTAAGTACTCTATAGAAAATGATGATTAATTAAAACATGAAGTACTAGATAATGTATTTCATGTTTTAATTGTATTTCATGAATTCTAATTTACTGTTTACATTGATTATAACAGTAATTTTCTTTATATTAAAAACAAAATGTTCGTACCCACCGAAATTGTAACCGACACTTTACAAAGAAGCAGTGTGTAAATAGGTCACACCAGGTCACCTATAGGGTTACAATTCTTTCCTCAAAAGGACCACTGGTAGAACATACTCTGTGGACTTGGCATGAATTCATGCAAAGGGTTAACAAAGAGGAAGGAAGGACTTTGCATGTGGATAGAAAACACAAAAAAACTTTACTTTTGACTTGGACTTGGAGTCGATGAGACAGCTGTTAGTTTGCTCCCATAGAAACTATTCTTTAAATTTGATTTTTGAAAAATAACCTTTGGTTATATATAGAATACAGATATAAAAACTAAATCTGTATATCATTTTTTATTTTATCTGTGTATATATATTGAAAGCAAATTCTTCCGTCACTGCCACACAAAAATAATGTAAATTTAAAAATTAATTTTATTTGCAATTTGGAAATTTCAAAACAACTTTTACAGTTTTTAAAATGTTTTAATTTTCCATTTTATTTAATTTTATTTTTGCTTTCAGTGTAAAGGCCAGAGTTTTAATTATGTTATTAATTTTTAGATTTAGTTTTTATAATTAATTTTAATAATAATAATAATTTATTTCCAAGGGAATTTCCCCTATTTTGGGGGGTATACATATAGTAATATAATTTTACATTTTATTTTACATAATTATATAATAAGAAACATAATTAAAAAGATAAATCAGTAAGTCAACATGACTTAACAACATAACATTAGTTGATGCTTTAAACAACTCAAAAAATACAAATTGTCTTAGTAATTCATTTTCTAGGATTTAAAGTTGTGATGATAAGCCAATGGTTAAATATTACAGAGAATTTTCTCAGTAAATTTTACAAAAAAATTAAAAATTTTGTAAGCATCTTTTTTATTAATATTATTTAATTTATTTTTGAAGTCAATAGGTGAATTTAAACAGCATATATTTTTGATATTGCATTTTTCACGTATATTATTCAAGGGTTGACAGTTTTGTAGGAGGTGAAGCACCGAAAAATCCTCTTGTTGACATAGCAGGCAGTGTGTATTTGAAAGATTTATATAAGTATTATTAATAAAAAGCGAGTATTTATTTAGGCGTAGTTGAATTATTAATCGTTTTACATTCAGGTCTATTGGTAGCCATATATAAGGTTGGAACGAAGGGATATTTAAGATGTTGGTGTACCAGGGATGATAATTACTTTGGTTTAAGGAAAGTTGATCTTTATTGATTGATTGAGCGATAGCAGAATTCATCAAAAGAGAGTAACCATATTTCCAGTCATGAATTGAGTCTGTAAACAATAGTTCCGATATTCCAAAAGAGTTTAATATTCTTCGAATTTTATATTGCCATAACTGTTTATTATTGTTGTTTTTACTTTGTTTTACCATTTCTTGGTATAATAGTCTAGTATTGTCATCGCTTTTATATTTAAGTCTGTAGTAAAATTTTATTATTCTTTTTAACAATTGAGGAAAGATCCAAGAACGTGATGTTTCGTGTCGAATGGCATATCCAGGTATAGTATTTTCTAGTTGTAACAATTTACGTAGGAAATAAATATGCAGAGATTCGAGACTGTAAATGTAATCCAAGCCCCAAATTGGGCTGGCGTAATAAATGATAGGACTTATTGTAGTATTATAAAGTTTAAGATGAATGCTTAAATTTGACGTTTTCATTGTTGAACATAAAAATAAGAGGTTATCGATTGCCTTTTTGACCCTGACATTTAATTTTGACACTTGATGTTTAAAGGTTAAGTTCCAATCAAATTCCACTCCCAAATATTTGACTTCATTAGTTATTTGTAGTAGAGTATTTTCGTGATAAATTTTCGAGTCCTTATTAGCTAATTTTTTGTTTTTACGAAAAATGACAATGTTAGTTTTTGTAGGATTTATTTCGAGGTAAATTGAGTTGAAATAATGATTGAGTTGATTGATTTTGCGTTGCAGAGATATTTTATTTGGAGCTAAAATTACTAGATCGTCGGCGAAAAGGATGTAATGAAAAGAGGTATTGTTTATTTCGATGCCATCTGAGGAATAATTAAAAAGTTGATCAATGTCCCTTAGATAAAAATTAAACAGATATGGTGACAGAGGATCTCCTTGAAGTACACCACGTGAAAGATTTAGAGGTGGAGATATCGAATTTCCTTGTTTGATTCTAATGGTATAATTTCCATATAACTGTTTTATTGTAGAAGTGAATTTGACACTTGCACCACTAGCTTTTAATTTATTTATTAATAACGGTGTGTAGATTGAGTCAAAAGCTTTTTTAATGTCGATAAATGCGGCGTAAACTTTCCTATGTTTTTTTAAAAGATGCAGTTGAATTATCATTAATAAAATAAATATAGCAGATTCTGTTCCTTTGTTTTTTGTGAAGGCGTATTGAAATTTGGCTTCTAATTCATTAGTTTTAGTCCATTGCTGAAATCTATTTGCTATTATGGAGGTAAAACATTTTCTTAACGTTGATAGCAGTGCAATAGGTCTGTAGTTATTTGGAGATGATTTGTCACCCTTTTTATAAATCATGGTTAAATTAACTGTATTCCAAGATTCGGGAAAAGTAGATGTTTTGTACATAATATTATATAAATGAAGTAATTTTGATCTAGAGCTGTTAGACATTGATTTTAAAAATTTCGTAGGAATATTATCATGACCTGGAGTTGTGTGGCTTTTGGTTTTTTGAATTGCATCATTTAATTCTTCAATTGTAAAGTCAGCATCTAGATGTTCGTCATAAGCTTTTGCATTATTTATTGTTGGAGGTTTTAAGTAAATACTTGGATAACGTTGAAAAAAATTTTTCCAGGTATCGAAGTCAATAATTGGAGAGATTTCATTTATACAAGGTTTAGGTCGGTATTTCCTTACAGTGGACCAAAAAAATTTATTGTCCTTATTATATTGAATTAGATTTAGTTCGAGCTTTCTAAAATAATTTTTCTTTTTTGTCTTAATTAAGTTGTTATACGTTCGTTTTGCTTCCTTATATTTATTAAAGTTGATTTCATTTGAATTTTTTCTGAACGTTTTTAATTTTGCTATTTTTTCCTTTTTCATATTGTAGCAGTCGTAATCGAACCATTCCTGTCCAGATTCTTTGTGAAGTTTCTTTCTGTCGCTATCCACAATTATGTAATTATTCATTATATTTATCATTAAGTTATATATTTCGTCGCTGTTGCATTCTGTAATTTTCGGGATGTTATCAAATCGGTTTTCAAATTCATTAGCGTATCTATTTGATTTATATTGTATACTTATTTTTTTATTTAAGGTATTTTTAGAATTTTTTTCCAAGAAGAATAGAAAAGTTGTTTTTGTAGGAAGGTGATCCGAAATATCAAAATCAAGAACATCAAATCTCAAGCAATAATCCAATAACAATTCTGAACATATCGTGTAATCAATAGTTGATCTTCCATTGTGAGTTAGACAAGTATATTCTGCAGGAATATCGTTCTTAAGCCGTCCATTAATTATATACATTTTGAGATTTTTTATTACTTCAATTAGCTTTTGACCGAGGTTATTTAAGTGCTTATCTTTTGATTGACGGATATTTTGTATTAAAAAGTTATTACCAGTATATTTAGAATCCATTTTCTCTGCAATTCTCGCGTTGAAGTCGCCGACTAATATGTAGTAAGGAGTCGTATAATGCCAAAGTTCTATTTGTTTAGATATTTCATTCAATGTTGATATGTCTTCAGGTGGAATATATATGAGCATCAGATTTATTAGGTTATTCGTAGTGTTATTTAGAGTTGGTTTCATGAATTGAATGAGAAGGAGAATAAAATTGTTAGATTTTTTTGTCTGTAGAATTTTACAAAGACCTTTTTTTATTAGTAAACACAGGCCTCCACTTGGACGGCCTGGGCCTATTGGTTTTTTCGCTAGAGTTGATACCAATGTATAATTTTCGAAGAAGTTTGAGTTATAGATTGATTCTGAGGTTATCCAGGTTTCGGTAATTGCAGTAATATCCGGTTCGTGCTTCGAATTAAAGACATTTAATTGTGGTATTTTATTTTTAAGTCCTTGGCTATTCCAATTTATTATTGTTAAATATTGATTATTAGAACATGATTTGCGATATTGAGTTTTCTCTCTATTGTTGATTTGTCATTTAGATAAAGTCGTTATTCCTGATGATGGGAGAAACGTATCAACATATACCAATTTTCCCGTTCTTAAACTGTAAGTTATCTTTTCTCGCTCAACTGTTAAAATATCGTTTCGTAATTTCACCTGAGGATTTTGTTTTCGTAGTTCATAAAAATTTGGTAGTAGTTTTTTACGTCTAGTTCTTGAGTTAATAGTTATATCCGGGGAGATCTGTACATTGAGCCAATCACCAAGAAGATTTTGTTGTTTTATACGTATAAATGAAGAAAAGATGAGATCTCTCGTTTGATTATTATTAAAAGTGATTCTAATTATTAGGTTTGGAGTTTTTGATAATTGAATTATCTCAAGTATATCCTTTTGAGTTATTTCTTGTAAATTTAATGTATTAGTAATAAAGTTGAGTATTTCTGCTTTTGAAATGTTTTTATGATTTGGGTAATTATACATAATTATATTGTTGTAACGATGTTCATTTGTTAACGAGTCCATTTTAAATTGTAGGAGTTCTTTATCCGTTTGTAATTTGTCTATTTCTTGCTTCAAACTATTAATCTGATCTTCCATTTTTTTCTGAGTTTCTTTCGTTTCACGAATGTTTTCGTGAATAATATCAAGTTCCTGTTTAATAATTACCATTTGATTAAAGAGTTTGTCATTAGTTGTATTTATCAAATCCGAAATTTTGTCCCAAAGCACTGAAGTAATGGTGTCTAATGAAATGTCCGGTTTATTAGTCAAAATTTGTTCAGAAATAGTTGACTCACCTGGAGTATCATTTGCACTAGTTTGCGATGATTTTCGATTATAATTCACTTCTTCGATGCATTCTTCCTGAAGGTTTTCTTCGGGGCAAAAATTGAAGTCCATTATCGTTTTAGAATTTGATGAAGATGACTGGTTCTTCTTTGTTCCTGGTTGGGTACGATTTAATGGAGGTCTTCCTCGTTTGGGTGGTGAACGTTGCATAGTAATTATTTTTATTATAACCAATATAAGTTATAATAATAATTAATAATAACAATTTTAAACTTATTAGTGATATTTAACGTTTAAAAAACGATTAAATTCTTATTCTTGGTGTAGAAAGCCGAGTGCTCTGAAAAATACGCCAGTAGCCTCGACGGAAGAACACGCCCCCCATTAATTTTAATAATTATTAAATTTATTATTATTTATTTAATTTTGCCTGCATATTTTGAATCCTTAGTTATAATTTTTTTAATTAATTGAACTATCGGGCTAACTAGTTGTATTTAATGTTAAGACAACACAGTGAATGATAATTAGGCAATATATTATTATTTTATCTATCATAAGAAAATTTCCTACAGTATATTCATTCAAAATAGATTGATACATAGATTTACAGTTTAAATTTGATTAGATTTTTATTCCAATAGAAAAAAGATTAGAAAGACAATAATGTTTGCTGTAAATTTGTATTAAAAAGTATTGCAGAGAAGTACAAGTGTTGATGTACGAGTTGTTGAAGTTTTTCCATCTTTGATTTTCTTTTCTGTTATTAAACTATGTTTCAGTTGTTTCCGCTATTTAAATTGCTCGGTGCAACCGGACTCTTAATCGAATATGAAGATATGTTTCCGTACGACGGACAACTCAAAGAAATATCGCAACCCGAATGTTACAGGTTAGTTTTTATTTAAAAGTAGATTCATAACAAATCTAAAAATTAGTCTAGTCTACTTTGTTAAATATGATAAAATCAGTGGGATTCAAATAATTAAACAACTGGTTTGCTGTAGTAAATATAAAATAAAAAATAAAAACCATATATTCATAAATTTATGCATAGAGACTTACAGTACTTTTTCACATCAATGCATCCTGCATATTAAAAAAGTATACAAAATAATAACAACAGTAGAAAAAATAAACTAAAACATATAATATAGTCTATTTCAAAATTATAAACACACCCAAATTTTTTCCATAACAAAAAACATTAATAATAGTAATGTATTTATTATATTAGTATGTTGTTTACAACATCAATTTAAACATTTTCTGAAATTTTTAGAGCTATCTGACAGTTACAAAAAAACTTATCACAGATTTTCAATTTTTGATTGTTTCAAAAGTATAAACACAGATGCATAAAATTAGTGTGATAATTTATTTATTAATTATTAGTTTAATTAGTTGTCACCAGAGAGTAGTATCATTGATTATTACAAACATGGTGCCAATTTTAAACAGTTTTTTTTGTGATTTAAAGCAATGCCTTGTAAAAAAACACCGAGAGTTGGAAATAAGTGAAATTTACCAACTAAAAGGAGCAGGACAATCTCTATGACAAATTTCAGCAGCAGTAAATCAATCTAAATATGCAGTGAGAAATGTATTAACTCAGGGCGAAAATTATGGCAGAAATAAGCAGTGTGGATAGGCAAAAACTCCTTACACCCAGAAATGAAAGAAAAGGTTTTCGGCTACTGACGGTCAACAAGTTGACTGTCAGGGAATCAGCATCAACATTGCCAATTGCAGTTTCACCAGCAACTGTATGGAGATGTATGCATAATCACAAAAATGCCAAATTTACAAAACAAATTGACTTTATCCGATAATCAGTTTAAAATATTCCTAATGTTACATGCTGTTTCAAGACAGGGACCTGTAATATTGCCATATTTAGGACACAAATATTTATCGTTATGATACATACAGCTTATCAGTAGCAGACCGCACCATAAAAAGTTTACATAAATATGTTTTGACTAGCTGTTACCCACGGAAGATTTGCAAGCAAACCCCATTTATATTCAGTATTTCAACAACCATAGTAATTGTTATATAACACCTACCGCNCAGTATATAATAATACTAGCTGTTACCTGCAACTTTGCCCACACAGATTTTGCAAGCAAAACCCATTTATATTCAGTAATTCAACAACCATAGTAATTGTTATATAACACATACCACTGAGAATTGCTGAGAATCAAACAAACTGTTTTCAATTTGATTAATTTTCTGGAACGTTTACAATTATTCTATAATTGAACCAATAAGCAATAACAAATTTGAATTTAAAACGGTTTGAACATTTAGTTAAAAAATCAAAATATATAAAAATATTTATAACAATGTCTGAAATGTTATCAATTTAATACACCTAAGTACTCAATGAAGACTAAACGCAGTTAAAAATAAAAAATCGCATCTAAAATAGTACAGTAGAAGCTGTTCTTCCGGTTAAGCCTTAATTCTCTCCCTCTCCCCCCGCGGGGGAATTTAGAAAAATCCCTTCTTAGTGTGCGTTTCCATGACGTACCCTAATTGTGTACCAAATTTCACCTCTTTAGGTTCAGTGGTTTGCTCTGGGTGATGATTAATCAGTGACTCAGTCAGTCAGGACAAGTAATTTTATATATTTAGATAAATACATCATTAACCATATCTCCATTAACAAGTGGCACATACCCCTTTATGGTAGTTGGCACAAAATTTTTCAGCCTAATTACATATTACTTTTTCCGGGAGTAACCGAAAGTTATAAAGTACGTACAGTACATTTCAAATTAGAGATGTAATTTTAATTTTAGTTTGTAACTTTGAATATAAAATTTCCAAATGTAATGGCAATATTAATAATAATTTATATTACACAAACAAAAATTATTTTGTGCTACTGGAAATTCAAGAGTGAAATTGAGCTTCATATAATATATTTTACATGAAAATATTCTATAATAAAATATTACTTTCTCGGTTGGAAATTAACTTTATAAAAATTTTTGAAGTACTAATATTTTACGTATGATGTTAATTTGATGAAATTTTTATTTTTTCAGTAAAATGGAAATTAAAACATTACAAAAACTAGCCGAAGACAATGACCTCTCAATATTTCCACTAGTACAGACCTTTGGACATTTGGAAGTGAGTACTGCCATTTGCAGTAAATTACAAATATTTTTGAAAAATACGATTACTAAATATATATTTTCTAATGCAGTTTCTTTTAAAACATCCGAAATTTTTCGAATTAAGAGAAATAAGTAAATATCCAAATACTCTCTGTCCCTCTCATCCTCGTAAGTATTGGATTTTTTTTAATAAACTAACAATGTCGAATATGTTCTGTCATAAAAATTGGCACAAGCTAAAAACGTTGTCAATTTTCATGATTTTTGCTTCCGTACTAAAAGATAATAGGAAGAAAAAGGATTCGTAGATATAAATTTAATTGTCTATGATATCTGGATTATTAGGACTTTTGACAAGTTTATTAATTGTTTATTGAAGGAACAATCTAAATATTAATGTAATTGGGAATTTAATGGTAATCTGAAGACATCGAAGTCCAAAATGTATGTAAATTATTTGAATATCTGAACATACTGACAGAAAATATGTTTTTTGTAAGTAGAAAAATTTAGGACGCATCATTTATACCTGTTTTGATTACCATATTCTTTAACATGTGGGTATAAGATGGTCCCAAAGGATGTTCGAGAAAGGAAATGTTGCCTGGCCCCCTCCGATTCAGGAGACTAATAGGAAGAATATGGTTTTGAGACAAAGTACCAGTTCTAAATTTATTTACATGAAATGAGCAAAAAACAATTGTGTGTATATATGTTCTATAGAAGGATGATACAAGGAAGAAACATGTTGCACTAGTAATCAAAGAGAACATCTTTGAGATAAACCCAATCTCTAGAAATTCAAACTGTCAAAAAAGAGATGGACCAACCAAACAGGACCACCGAATTTAGATACCGAAACACACTTGGTTGGAGTATTTGAACTGACCACCTGGAGGTGGCAGTTCAAATACTCCAAATTTAGACATTTTTGCATTTTATGGATACCAATCTGATAGAGAAATTTTGGATGGCTGGTAAATTTTCCATACAGTGTTTTTGATATTTTTTTGTTAGGACATTTCTTGTAAGAGAGAGAATATAAAGTGTAGCATCACAGGTTCATGTATATTGAAAATTGGCACAGGGTTTCATTTTTTTTTTACATTCCAGAAATAACACTTCTAACAAGAACAAATTTGTGGAATTAGATACTGGGAACAATATTTTTTCATTTGCATGTTAAACTTCACTGCGACGTCGGAGATTGACGTTGCAATACAAGTCCTGTAGTCCCAAGAAATCCAGTTTAAATTCTTATAAATAATAACAAATTAAGATAACATTTCTTATCCATTGCACCATCAATATTAGTAAATTAGTATTTAATTTCAATTCTACATAATGCACACATTAGCATTTTCTTAAATGACGTTCGATTGGATTCCAATAAAAATGAAATGAGTATTCTCTAAATTTATCAATTTTGAGCATAACGTATGTCTACTTGTAATAAAACAACAGTCGTGGCTTGCCGTTATGTCCCATAAAGTTAAAGCAGATCTTATAATAAATTAAATGATATTGGATTAAAAAAAACATCATAAAAGAAATTCTTAAAAATTAATATTAAAATATCTGAACTACTTTGACTTTTTTCAAAATTATGTATGAAAATCCCAAATAAAATTATTACAGAAATGATATTTGTTTGATGAACATATCAGAAATTAACATTTATCATTAATTCTTCCATTTATTACTAGAATATCTTTAATCTGATGTATTTTATAAGCAAAATATGAAAGTTTTTAACTAAAAAGACAATACTTTAAAATTATTCTAGGTTCGTTGTCGGTCGTATTTGAATTACTGAATCAAGTTTTAGAACTGCATCCTTACGTAAAATGGTTACATTTGGGTGCGGACGAAGTAAGTATTTAATAATAATCGTACAATAACTTTTCATTTTAATGTTGCTTGAAGGTCACATTGGTTCCGGTCTGAACCTTCATGACCCTCAAGCAGTGAGCCGAGAATGCCCATTATTGGTGCAGAACAGAGGTGCATGGTCTGCTTGCAATGACTGAAGATTATTGTTTTGGCTGTGAACAAAATATATTATTTTGATAGTTTTAAAATATAAAAATTAATATGCATCTCTGATTCAAAAATAGTAATAATATCTGTTTTTCCTCTTTCCATAAGGCAGCATTGTCCCCTAACCAGTTAAATACAATCACACTAATCCATAGTCTGGTTGTATTGTCATCATTAATTGAGATTTGCAAGATCTGCAGTAGCAGTTTGCTAACATTGCAGGCCAACTGCTCGAAACTTCTTCCAGGAAGAATGCAATACCATTTATTCATTACATTTGCAAGTCTCTATATACAAGGGTGATTTGACTTCTGTCTAGAATTTTAGCAACAGTAATGAACTGTATGCATTATGTAGTCCAAATATATGTTTCCTTGTATACTCCCTCTACACAAACACACACAACGATGCCATGTATGCAGAACACCAGCCAAAAGAAGCATGAATCTTTTGGCTGGTGTTGGGATGGCTGCATGATGAACTCTGTCTTTGGCATTCCTGATAAATCTCCCATTTTCCTAGGTTTCCTTCAAATGACCAAATGGATTACAACTACACAGTGATAGATAGGGACCACAGACCAAATAAACCAGAATTTCCCAAATGAATCTCCAAGTACCTCCACCGTTTCCAGCATAGCGTCAGCACATGGGAGGTGTATACAAAGAAATATTTAAGTGATAATCTCCATGCTAGATCTCCTTTTAAGGTTATTTTAAAAACTTTTTTCCTCTCAATTAATAATTTTATTTAGGTTTTTCTTCCAGTTTTCACAAGCATTAGAATCATAGCTCTTTTTAACATGTGAGCTTGAGTATCGCTTGGGGCTCCAATAATTTCCAATTTCTTTCCAGTATATTAAAATTTTATAAAATTTATACTTTTTGTAACATACTACAGAATTCATTAACGATCAAAAAATAAATAATGGCTTTTTTTCACTGTCTTGAAGCCATATAATTTTACAGTTGTGGATTAATAACTGCTTTTATGTAAGTGGTTGAATTATCTATATAAATAAAAATGTAAATGTTCATTTGTTTAAAATCTTAAATCTCCGAAAGTTCTTAACCGATTTCTTTGAAATTTTAACACATTGCATTCAAATACGTGCATGCTTTTATATTATATAGATGTTGAAATTTCCTCCTCCCATGGGAGAGGGGTAAAATTAAGGCTTACCATGAAGAACTGGTCTTATATTATTCTATTTTAGATGCGGTTTTTTGTGTTTTTGATTGCGTTTTAATAGGGTACATGAAGAGAATGTACACTAAGAAGGGATTTTTCGAAATTCCCTCCCGCGGGGAGTGTTATAACATTTATAATAAATACATTTTGAGTCACAGCAATGCGTGGTTGGGTACAACTAGTTAAAAATAAAAATTAGCAATTATAAAAAGTTGAAATTGTTAAATTAGAATAAAAAAACAATTAATTTAAAAGTTTGCAAACAAATTTTTAAAAAGTTGAAATGGTAATTTATTAGAATGTTCCCTTTGAAATAAAAATTTTTACTGAACTATTTAGCTAATTTAATCGTTTTTCACATTGTGTAGTGATGTTTTAAACAGTTACCTGACATTTACAGTAAAAGATATAAATTAACTTGTGGTCAGCACAATTATTTTATGTTGTTACGATTTTCCTCGAAAGTACTGTACTGCAAGCACATTTCTCTCTCTCTCTCCTGTTAATTTCCTGCACTTTGATACAGAGTTTAATCATTAGTCTAATAAAATAAAGTTGGGTAACAAATATCACTGATTTTGGCAAATTTAGGGCTTAAAAACTGGCAACATTGATCATTTCTGTAGTATGTTATAGTTTTGAATATCAACTATGTATTATGTTCAATTTTTTACATGGCACAGTCTTTGGAACTTATTGATTATGCAAAAAGGATAGGTGTACTCAATATTCAGAGTAAGTAAAATGCAGTTTTATTAAGTCAATATTCCATACTGTAAGAAATGAGAGAATCAGGGAAAGTTATAGAATTCAGAATAAAAATTTGAATAAGAAGGAACCATGCACACAGTTTTATCACCATTACTGAAATTCCAGATAGAAGTCAAACCACCCTTGTAAGCATGTAGAGTAGATTTTTATGTACTGTCTATTTTGTGTAAATTAATATTTTTCAAAAGAAAACAAATCTGAATTAAACTATTTGATTTGTGAAACATCACAAGCAGAAAAATAAAATGTAATAATTCTCTCTCCTGTTGGCATTAATTAAGTGGCCTTGGTCCCACACTAGAACAGTTGGGTGATTTCAGATTTTCTTGAGAGTCAAACTTGGCAACCTGCTACTCTAAAGAATCCATTTTAATCATTAAGATGAAGTGATGCAAAGTGTGGCCACCCCACAAAGGGTTGTTCAAATGAAACATACTGCAGTACAACTGGCCGAAAATGAGTAGTTTGACAGTAGCAATACTTTTGTGATGGACTTTCAGCTGTGGTCAAACAGTTGTTCTTACGCGTAATCATCTGTGATGTTTGGGCAGCAGTCCCAACGATTGACAAGTTTCTGTATGCCTTCCGTAAAGAAAATTGTTGGCTGGAACCAGAACCGTTTCTCTGCCACAGCATTGACTTCTTGATTGGAGGTAAAAGTGCATCCCTTTAAAGCCTTTTCCTGGTGGCCAAAGGATAAAAATGTCACAAGGAAAAAGTCCAGACTGTGTGGAGGGTGGGCATGGATCTTGTGTATCTTTCTTTCTTATACTGGAATTGAATCATGGCCCGTTGGGCACACCTGGATGTATCCATGGTGCACTTCTGTTGGAAAAGTGGTCTTTAACATAGCATAGCCTTGTGTTAACCGAGCACGTGACTAACTGTTTCTCTTGGTTTTGGTGTACAAGGTCTGTTCAAAAAGTTCCTGAACTTTATTTATTACAAAAAAAAAAAAAATATTCACTTACAATTTATTGGTCAGGGTCCCCTTCAAAGTAGTCTCCTCTCCAACGTATACACTTATCCCAACGGTGTTTCCACTTTTTGAAACAGTCCTGGAATGCTCATAAGCTCCTCCGTTGAATTTTTCTCTATCTCTGGAATGGTGGCAAATCGTTTTCCTTTGAGCGGGTTTTTTAGTTTGGGGTACAGGAAAAAGTCGCATGGGTCCAGGGTGGGTAGGGAAGCAGAGCGGTCTTGTTTTTGGCCAAACACTCACAAATTCTGAGGGACGAATGAGCCTGTGTATTGTCATGGTGAATAAACCACTCACCACTCCTCCAAAGTTCGGGCTGTTTTCACCTGATTTGTAACCCCCAGGTAGCATAACTCTGTGTTGACTGTCTGGCCTGTAGGTAGGTATTTGTGATGCACAACCCTCATTGCATCAAAAAAAAAAAGTCAACATCACCTTAACATTTGAGCAAACTTGTCAAGCTTTTTTGGGGTGGGGGACGTTTCACCCACCCATGGAAAGTTTCCGTAAAGGATTTCCCAAGTTTCACACAGAATTTCACAAAACAACACTGCTCCTTCAAAGAGCTCATGTCTGCAGATCCAATTTTTTTGCCAAACCCCACAAACACCCCTTTACATAAATGGCCGTAACTAATCACCAAAATAAGATATCAACAAACGGATTGAAGGAGGTTACTCAGGAGGTTTCTGTGGACACAACACTTTCAAGCAGATTAAAAAATAACCAATTGGAGGCGCACTATTAAAAAAGTTCCCAAACTTTTTGAACAGACCTCGTATACATTGCTGCCATTCTACCATCCACTGTGTCAAATATTCTGGCAGCACATGCAGTCTATTTCATTTGAACGGTCCTTATATATAAAAAGTACTATAATTCTATAATTACTTTTTAGCACAAAATAAACTTTTGCTGCTAAATATGAAAGCAATATCTTGGTTAACTGACTTGGGTCACCCTGTGAACAGTAGATTATAAAAAAAATGTTTCCACAATTATTACTCAACTGACAGATGTAATATGCCACTAGATTATTTTGTTATAAACCAAAATTTTTTTAGAGGGTTGTGAAAAAATTGTGTCATTGGTGCAAATTAAAGTATGCAAAGGTTGATAATTCAATTTGCTCCATTATTTGATGATGCACTTCTGTATGTAGTTAGTGTCTTTTGTGTACATTTTTCAAGATGTTTCAGCAGTTATAACATTCGACACACATGCCATGTTGAATTTTTGCTTAATTTTATGTGTAATGTTAGGTGGTGAGCTTAAACATGATACAATGTTACAAACACTAATGGCAGGCAAAGTAAACAAAACTTTGTGGAACCATTGTGCAAATATTGTCCTTTCTAGACTTTCTCTTTGAAGTAGGTGAAATTGCAAAGCAACACAACTCATGAGGGCTTTTTTGTGTGGTCCTTCGAAGTCACAAGCAATGTTCCCTCTAATTTTTTTTGTAGATGAGTGGAACATATACTTCTCTGAGCAAAAAAAATTTTTGCTGAGCAGATTGAGCAAAAAATTTTTCTGAGCATATATATATAAAATCTTATTTTTTCCTATAAAAATCAAAATAATGAATTATAGAGATTAAAATTCATTTTAAAACATACTTTTATACAAAATATTATCTTTTGTCAATGATTTAATGTATTTAATCGAAATATACGCAACAATAATCATGTTGCAGACAGAGTGAGAAATAAGTAAACAATAATTCAAATAGGTGTGCATGCTCGCCTGCGCGGCAACAATTTGAGCAGTACGCGGCCATGCAACCGCGCAGCTTAGAGGGAACATTGATCATAAGTAGATAGTTTGTGAATGGTTTTATTTGTCTCTGAAGTTCACATTCATCTCCTTTTATGCCATTTCTGCTCCTTTCTACAAGAGTCTAGCGTCGAGTCAGATTTGGTGGCAATACTTTTTTGCGCGTCCATTCCTGTTGGAATTTAGATTGTTATCAAAGGACATCCCACAGGAGATCCTCTCCAAAAAAATGCATTCAACTGGATGGAAGGTAAAATCACTGTGTTGGGATTTGAGTAGGCTGTACTGTACTCATGATCCCTAAAACTTTCAATGTGATCTTTGAAGTTGGGTGGGAATTGTAAACTTCACTTTATTTAGTCTATTTGAACACCTTAATGTGGATGCTATTCTATCATTGTTAGTTTTTTCCTTTAACAGTCTGCTCCCACAAGTCACTAAAGAATACTTTATCCACTTTTGGATGAAGAACCATCTTGGACAATTGAAAATGGCACAAATGTTATTATATAAATAATGTTGTAAAAGATTATCAGAAAAGTATTTAGACCTTGCAAGAGTTGCTTTTAAGATGTTTTGAAAGAATGCACTAATAGTTCAGTAATTCCCTCCTAGATTACATCATTTTCCATGTATTGAAAGAACTGGTAATGATACCAAGTTTATTTACTGTATATCTTGTCTTATAATAGACAGTCTTCAGTTATGAAGCCCAATTCATCAAGGATTCTAGTATCATTTAAATACTGAATAATTCCCTCTATTTCCAGTGACTGATCTATGCAGTCACTCATTTTGTTTATTGCTCTTGTTGCTTTGTTTCCTTGATATTGTCTACTTTCTGCCATTTTTTTCCAGTGTGCAATAGTTGCCTTTTGTCAATGGTGCATTTGTTTGCCCGTTTAGTCGGTTGGTAAGTGCACACATTATGTTGCCTTGCAACCTTGCTCTACTGTGTCTAATTTTAATGCATCATCTGAACATTGCTCAAAGACAGCAATGAGTGATTTTCCCTTTTGTCTTAGATAATCCACAACCATTCAATTATTTCCTTATTATTGTGATTACCACTCCAGAATCTACAATAAAGTTTTGGTCTCAACCAGACAGGTAATATTAAACTTTTGCCATTAAGGGACCTGCAAATATCAATGACATCAAGAAATCTGCATTATCCTCTAAATCCTTTAGACTTGTTATGGCACAAATCCTGCTAAACAATTCATCCTCCCACAATCATAACAATTAAATTTAGTTGTTGTCTCTTGCATCCATATTTCTGATAACATATTAATTTTTCCTTCTTTCAGCTGTTCCCATATTCTAGAGGTGACAGCTTTGAAAGTAGCAATACTGTAAGCATTTATAGTCTCTTATTTGCTCTAGACCAAGTCTAGCCAATACCACTGTGCTCTTTTCAGATAGCATTGTAAACACAAGTCAACTTTATAGATGTTCTGGGACCTCTTACAATTAACACTACTTCTACAGTGTGGAATTGCAAATGAGCCTCTGCTTCACTGTGTAGTATGTTTTGATAGTGCCCAAGGCATCTTAATCAGACTATTGAGCACACTTGCCTTCCTTCCATAACTATTTCTGGTATTATTCCATAACTTTTCTCCAAAACATTTGCAACATCTCTTTCCAAACTGTTGTTTGGGACAAACTCATTATTATCCTTCTCACCTATGCCTGTGTTTTCTGAATGAATTAGGTGGAGATCATTATCCTCCCTTTGACCCTCTTCGATGCCATCATTAATCCTACTGACAATCACATCACATCCTTTTCCAAACAGATAGTATTCCTGTGGATGTATAAACTCAAATTGATGTAGTAAATCAAAATAGAAGACTACTGCTGGTGTCTTTCCCTTTCATCAGAAATTGTTTTAGCTCAGTGTACCCAGTAATCCTGTTGACTGCACTGGCAATGATTGGCTGGTTGTCTCTCTGAAGTAGATAAGCTTGGCCGGCAACATATACAAGGTCTTTCTTGGATGGCGACACTGGTTGCACATTCCTGTGTCGGAATTTTAACTGTCCTCAACACGCTGCAAGTTATCCCCTCCAAAAAAATGTGTCTGGACAGACGGAAGGTAAATTTGATGTCTTGGGATCCAAGTGGGCTTAGGCTCTATTTGCAAACCCTGAACTTTAGATCTGATCCTTACATAAAACCAGTATACTATTAAATCCAATGCAAATCTGTGTTATTTATAATTTGTGACCTAATCTATGAAATTCTCTTGATATCAGTTAATATTTTGATAAAGCAATTGCATCATTAATGTTTAACCTCTTATTGACTTAAGCTTAATTCTTACCACATACACATGCTACTACCATTTGTTGAAATGTCTATTAGTGTTTCTTGAAACCCAGCTGATTGTTAATGTTTACAGCTATATTAAATTTATTCACATTATCATTGAGAAAATACTTAATACATTCATCCTAGATTATTTTTAGAATTTTGTAAACTATTATAAAATCTTGAATAAAGTTGTGCCATTTATAGGTTTGGCATCTGGGTGAATGTGAGAGATGCATAAAGAGAATGAGGGAGAACAAATGGGACAAAGATGCTCTCTTTCTTGATTACGTTCGGACGTTGTCACAGTTAATAAAACAGAAATGTCCAAATTTATCTCTCATAATTTGGGACGACATGTTGAGGAATTTTGACGTCAAAGTTATTAAAGGTGAGTTTTTACGAAACAAATTTACGTAGTTAAAATAATTTCTAAAATCATCAATATATACTAATGCATGTTCTGTGTGTACCAGTTCAGCATGTGATTTGTAAGAGTATGTGTGACATTTGCAGTCAACCAATTTGTTTATGTTAGATTCTGGCACTCTAAAGTTATAATAATGCTCCATCTCTTATTACTTGTAACAAATTAAGGAATCTGGGTCCAGTTCGAATCCGGATTCCCACAGTGCTGAACTGACCTTAATGAGGTTGGTGTTAAAGTATTGCAGGCCATTTTAATAAAAGCTCCATTTGTTGAGTCAAGATACTTTGTCATTTTAGATGATCTTTAGACTTTTATAACACAATGCGCCTTTATGAAAGGAAATACCGAATCCATGGTGTATTATCATACATGCAATAATTAAAATCTGTGGCTACGAAATCATACAAATCGATTCTATAAATATGTAGTGTTTTGCAAAGATTGTGCTATAATGGGAGCTTAGATAGTTTGTTAAAATATTCACTAAATACAGTAATTTAATCATAATTTTTCTGATTATTAGATTCTGGAATAGGAGAAATAGTAGAGCCCATGATCTGGCATTATTTACCGCCCGACGAATTTAGACTCAAGAGCCGTAAGTAAGTCTTCAGAATTTCAATCCAAGATTTTTGTAGCTTAATTTATCAAGGTTTAACTTAAAACCATTAATATTTGCATTTTTTCAGCTGAAAAATGCACTGTTTTTAACTATATGTATCACTCAAAAACCAACACCAGCAAATGAGTGATATATATAGTTAGTTAAATTAAAAACAGTGCAAACAGTGAACAAACCAGTTGTTCAGATGCACTGTTTTTAATTTCATTATTTTACTGTCAGCATAAATAATTTGGATTTGTTTTATTCTGTTCAATATTTAAAATCTGTATAAAACCAAAAGATTTTATATTTGCAAAATAAAACCCAAATACTGTGGAATTTCAAACAGAAAGAAGGATCGACAGGCAAAAATCCAAGTTTGACCGGGTAGATCCGTCTCGTATTTTGCTCATGAAATAAATTTATATACATATGAATAGACTATACGAGTCATCAATTTCTAAAAAAGAGAATTTTAAAAAATTACAGCTTTATGGAATAAATACAATGCCATCTTCCCTAAGATATGGATAGCCAGTGCCTTTAAGGGAGCAACGGAAATGACTCAGCTTTTGACTCCTCCTCGTTACCACCTGCTCAATCATAAAGCTTGGTTGGAAGTTCTTGGAAACGAAGCGGTCAATTTCCAGTGCGTTCGGGGCATTGCTTTAACTGGATGGCAAAGGTATACAAGAGTACAAATTCATTTAAATCTACAATTAAAGAATTAATGTTTGATATTTTGTCCCAGGTTCGATCATTTCACAGTGTTGTGCGAGCTTCTTCCCGTCGGATTACCTAGTCTTGCCGTGTGCTTACAGATGTTGATAGAAGGTAATTGACTAATTTAATGTAAACATTATTAACTTTAAGATGGCTTAATCGTTGGCTTGTTTCGAAGGAGATTTTAACGAAGACGCCCATCAAAAGGCATCTCGTTTACTCGGGTTTTCCGACAAAATCGTCCTTGACGTTTACCCGAGGTAATTTCGTTAAGAGACGGTTACGAAAATAAACTTCTAACGTGCCAATTAAATAAGTTTGAATGTTCCTCTGGCAGGCCTCAGCCATTACCTCCCGTTCCAAGTTTTCCCGGTAGTAGTATATACATCAACTGTCTTTATCTTGCTAATTTATTAACGGAATACCAGATGCTAACAAATCATCCAAGGTAATTTTTTTATTTGCATTTTATATGTATTTTATTAATTGTGTTTCGATCATCTGAATCTGGTAACCATTTTCAGCATGAAAGGTGCATTCAGTGACTACCACATTTTGCAAAACCGCATCAATCCCCTACACATTGACCAGTTTTTGCCACATGCCAAAGCGTAAGTATACTTTATATTTATGGCTTAATAACTAGTATTTTGGGAATTTTTAAAATATCAATAAAGATCAATTAAATGTTGCGCATACCTTGCAGACTGTTGCTTAACCTGAAGAATCTCAACAACCAGTTCGTACAGGCGCTTTCAGAAATCTATTATCCCGGAACCGTTGAAGAGTGGCTGGCGACGAATACATTGCCATACATAGAAAAGCTGCAAAAATTAGTAAAAGAAGGAGAGGAACAAATAGCACATCATATAAAAGCAATTAAATAAATGCAAACTAGGTGATTTGTTATAAAATATATCCAATTTATTTCTGAAAAAAAGGAGGAGGGAAAAATCACACAAAAATATGTTCATTTACTCGAAAATTTACAAAATAACTTCCTAAAAATCTTGCACTTAAATGAGTTTTCACTAATACCAGTATTATTGATAGCGTGATTACAAAGCAATGCTCAGATTGATGCCAAAATGTAATTTTAAATACATTCAAAATTAGTGTTTTTTCTCATCCATTAAAACCTAATTTTGGCTCATTTATTTACTGTCAAGGATGCAATTGCTTTTAAATGGGAATATATTCAACATGCTTATTATTTGTAACTGAAAAAAAAAACCACCTGTAGCAATAAAAAGATATGCTCTATACACGATTAGTATCCGATATCATTTGAATTTCTAGATTATTTTTGTGAACAATTTACATATGAAATGATTTTATCTGATTAATTTTAAGTTAAATATGTTTCATCTATATAATAATGTGCTTCAAAACAAACTAAAAAAAAGGATAAATAATAATATGAATATGTACACGTGACTAGCATAAGCGAGTTTCCAACATTTATAAATGGCAACAGTATATGCAAGTTGTTAACAAGATTTGTTTTATCGATAACAAGATAACATCTTAAGTATATATATTGTTTTCTTTACAAACCAAAACTGTAAAGCAAAACTTTGAACGATAAGAACTAAAATCAAAAACTGGATAAATATTAAAATTCTCTGCCACCATTTGGTTTCTATTGGAAAAACGGGAAGCCTGGTGGAATTAAAAACACGTTCATCGCCTGCTCGTACCAAAAAAGAAAACACTGTGCATAGTTTATTTTACATCGGCATAAAAAAACAAAAATAATAATAAGCCTGTTGCGAGTGGAAGGGAGACTAAAAACTAACTGTGAGTGGAGTAGGCGGCGGGACGTTTTATGCGTATTTTCCTTCCAGCCATTGAATTTTGAGAAATGTCCTTGTCGTCACTCTTGCTTCCATCGTCAGATGGATACCTCTTTGTGATTTTTGCCTGGGGTTCTTCGCCACTCTTGCCAAAGTCCTGATTTGAAGGCGAAACCCATGACACAGAACTCTGGATTTTTCTCTTTGAACCAACGTCTTGTTTCTTCTTTTCTTCATCCACATTCTGATTTGAGCTTTCTCTGTCTATAATTTTCCAGAAATTTGGGCTTTTGTAAGAAATACTCTCCAACTGAGACATTTTAGGTTGATTTAATTGTGTGACCTCTTCCGCTGTCAATCTTGGAGCGTCTGGCCGAACCCTTCGGAAAAAGAAATAAAAATCACATCTAAAATATCTTGTAAATAAAAGGGAAATTTTGTTTGTGGCACTGTCAGACTAGTATCTGCATGAAGTGTTTGTAGACATGACAATGTGAATCCAAACACAAACATCTCTCTGGGAAATTTATACTTTCCTATAAACCCATTCCATTATACTGTATTTTACAGAAAAATTCAGGAAGATGCACAAATTTCTTTCGCACAACTGTAAGAATTCATTTTACCAAACAAATTGTGATGTCACTGCCGACAATGAATCTGCCACCAAAAACACAACAACAAATGGAAATAAATAACATTTAGTAACTTAAATTTATACTTTACCATTTTAATTGATTACTCTCCCTCCACCCAAAAATCGTATGAATAAGATACTTTCACTGTTTCTTTAGTGATTTCAAATTTTTTATTACAGTAAGAATTATCTTCCCCCCATGATTTGAGAGAAATTTTTTAACCTTTGTGAATATTTTTGTAAAATACAATCAAATGAGTCTATACAAAGATAAATTGATTTAATTATCTGTAATTTGTAATTTATACTTTGCTTCTAGTCCATTTCTAGTAAAGATCACATCCTCAGTATGATAATTCCTAGTAAATGAAGGTGTTTTGACCAGTTATACATAGAGATAAATTGATTTTGTTGGAAGTTAAGGTTTGTCTGCTTTGTTTTATCTTTAGAACAATGAAGCCACTATTCAATGTACTATACCAAGTTACCCCCGTAGTTTACAAATCTATCCAATGTTTCATTATTTTTGTACTTTTCTTATGATATGCCCATTGTAGGCTCTCTGAATTTCCCTTTCCAGTCCATTTTTATGAAATTACTATTATAGATACTTGGTGTTACCAGGATGAAAGTTAAGCTATATTAAAAGTTTGGCTATTTTAGCCTAGGCAATGCCAAGTATATCTGCTAGTATCTTATAAAACAAAAAATTACCTTCTTAAAATAATCACAGCTCTGCGCTTTTTTACATCTTGAGGTCTAACACAATGAGTTATGTTATCTGCAGCATAACCACTGGAAAAGAAACATGTAATGACTATGTTAATATATAACAGATAAACATAAAATAAACAGATAATATTATATGTATATCAGACTGGAAAAGAAACATGTAATGACTATGTTAATATATAACAGATAAACATAAAATAAACAGATAATATTATATGTATATTAGTCTGTTAAACATCTAAGAGTCATCTTACCTTAAAATGGTAACACAACCGCGACAGACAGGTAAGCAGAGTATGGGTTCCGTAACACGGATGGGCTTGAAACTGAACTTGCAACCAAAACTTAATGCACTGTCGCTCATGAAAGAAACAGATATTATCGGCCTCTCGAATATGTGAGCCGGGTCAATGTGAGAGACAATACATCCACCGGGTTGGTAATCATTGATTACCGCACTGTTGATGAAATTCTCGGGTACGATTTTGGCTTTGATCATTGGCTTAATTATCTGAAATTAAAATGAATTATTGAAATATATAATAAAAAATAACTAGAAATCACAGATTTGCTACTGAAGATAAGCCTTTCATTAACCATTACTAAATTTATTATAGCTCAAATTACGTTTAAATTTGTGCCAAATTATTTGGTTTAATTTATTGATCTTGGATTCTGTTTACACAACCAAACAAATTGGAACAAAAGTGACAAAATGATACTTTAAAAATTCTTTTCACCATAAATATCTTTCAATACTATGCAGCCTTTGACAGAAATACAACTAGAACACAGGACAAATTTTCCTTTAAAACAAAATAATTTACTAATTTTTTAAAAATTATTATTGTTGGGAAGCAAGTAAATCAAAATCTGATGCACATGGAAGGAAAACAAAGACATTTTCTTCATGCATTGATAATGACACTACTGCAATTGAAAGACTTCCGAATATTAGAATACAGGAGGAATAAAGTACTTTTTTTGTTTTGAAACATTCCAATAATAATAATCCTACAGAGAAGTAAAGCTTTTATTATAAACTAATAAAAAAAAATTCTTTCATATTCTAATTGCTTTTCACATATACATTAAGGTATGAGAATAGTGGAATTGTTCCAGAGCATTAAATGTTCTTGTATTTGGAACTGTCAAAAGATGAGAGTAGAAAGAGTTCCTTTTGTTTATTTTTTTTTAAACAAATGAAGTACTTTGTGGTCTCAAAGACTTTATTTTAATTGACGAGGGCCTACTTGTAGTAGTTCCCATTCCTAATTTTTCCGGTCTCGGGGAAAAGTTCCCAATCCCCTTTTGATGACCCCTATTTGTATTGTGAAACTAGCACAAACACAATCTTTGACAACTGAATGGCAATTCTTTTAGTGATTAGAACTGTTACATTGGCCCTACAGACCAGTTTTTCCAGTATATCTAGGCCTACAAATCAAAAACAGTCTAAATATATGCCTAAACAGTGCCTATTGATGACAACATATTTTTTAGAATGGCAGAAGAAAAATATAAAATAGAATCTACCTCAATAGACATTTCTTTCACACAGTTCATTTCCTGTAGCTTTACATCCATGATATTTGCAACTCTGCTGTCAATGTATAAAGATAAATTTTTGTACTCAATAATAGTATAAATTAAACATTAAATAGGGACAATAAGTTATTGCTATCAAAAAAATTTAAATATTTTAGCTGCAATGTCTACCTAACTTAAATGTTAGAAGAAATAGAATTAATGTGATTTATATTCTCTGCCATCTTTCCTGTTTGATATAAAGACTAACGTGGGTGGAAAGAAAATAGAGAAGGTAAAAATGTTTGAGTACTTAGGAAGTTGGATAACTGAGGATAACAGGTGTAATTATGAAATTAAAACAAGAATAAATAAGGCTAAAGCTGCTTTTGCACAAATATTCTCAGTATTAAGAGATAGAAATGTATGCAAAAAACAAACTAAAAATACTTAAAACAATGATTTGGAGTGTACTACATATGGATTTGAGTCATGGACAATAAACCGAGAGGCAGTTAATACGATAAATTCCTTTGAGATGTGATGTCTTAGAAGAATGGAAAGAATTAGTTAAATAGACAGGATCGTTGGTTAATGAGGAGATTATGAGTAGATTTGGAATAGAAAGAAACCTGATGGTCAGCATCCAGAGAACTGATGAAAATCACAGTTCAAGGAATGGTAGTGGGCAGACAGAAAGGGAAGACCTGGGCTAACATGGCAAGACAACATCAAAAAATGGACTGGCTCAAGTTTCTATGATGATATCATGAAGCTCCTCCATTGATGGCAACACATCATTAAAAACAATGGCACATATGTAATGGATAAAAGTATATTTTTAGTTTTAAAACAGTTTCTTTTATTTCTCTTAAAAATCGCTATGAAGTTTCCAAATAAACCAATAAGTTTTCTTATTGAATATAATGCACAGAAGTAGAAATAGTTAAGACAGATGTCCAACTCGTGGCTCGCAGGCCGCACTGTGGCCATTTAATATTTTTATGTGGCCCACTGCACCCTAAATTTTTTAGGTACATTTTCATTTATTTTGTTAAGTATGTTGTAAAAATTATTCTCATTTCATTGGATACACTTTGATGTAATTGGTGTTAGAAAATTGTTTTATCTAGAAAACTTATGTATGTGGGATAGTACATGTGAACAATTCTTTTCGTGCATGAAAAACATCAAAACTGCTGAAAGAAGTAGGTTGAGTGATTCCCACTTAACTAACATTCTTACAATTAAGACTAGTACCGTAAAAGCAAATATTGACAATATTATAAAAGGAATGCAATGTCAAAAATCGCATTGAATTTATTTTTATTTTGTGAGAGTATAATTTTTTTACTGTCAATAAATAACAAATATATATACTGTAATTACAAACAATACTGTGTTATTAAAATTTGATATTCACATTTTGAACTTTTTAAAAAATATATATTTATATAAGGTACCTTTGTGGCCAAGCTGAATATATGTAAATTTATAATTTGGCCCATTAGGAAAAAAGGTTGGACAATCCTGAGTTAAGATGATCTCAACAATTGAATCTATCAGTACAACAGACATTTTGAATCACTAGATCTAGAATTGTGTGTGTGAATCCAGTTTTATTTGTCATCTAAAAGTGTATATAGAAGCTTTCCATCAAATTTTAAAAATGTTACCACCATTGTACCAATTTGATCAATATAAAATGTTTTAAAATGTGCCCCGATTTTGCAGATTGAATAATAATCCCTCCTGTTATGGACCTATTGAGAGCAAGTGATATAAAATTAAGACTTGTGATTTTATATATATATCTACACTTCAGTCTGAAAGTTGTGTGGGATTTGATAAAGTGAATTGATTGATAATAGTGTAAGAATTTGTTATTTATTTTTATCTGTTTCATGTCATCATATGTTTCTTTTAGTGGCCTGAAAAAATAATAATTGCTAGAGGGCAGGGTAGATGTTTGCAACTCCAGCTTCAGTTTTGTAACTGTAAATGCCATTTGGCATGCAGAATGGAAATGTACATTATCACATTACTATCCCAAGGCATCTGTCTATAATCTGTGGAATTGGCTTCCAGTATATGTTCTAGTTGATTCTGCAGCAGATAGAAATATATATTGTTATTCACTGTAGTCCATCTGTGGGAATTATCCCACAATAGAACTTGATGTCCCAGAAAAATAGATCCACATGATTTTTCTGGGTGACAATGCCACTTGAAACTTTGTGGACTCACCAATGAAATTCTAATTAAACCTTGCATCTTCAACATGGTGCATGATTTGACAGGAACACCCATCTTCCAAGCATTATGTTGCATGTGTAAAAGCTAGTGCTTCACTGTAAATTTTGCATTTGTTTATGGATGAAATCTAACTTTTGCATTTACAGTATAGAAACAGCTGTTTCTAAATAGAAAAGAGAGTAGTAAACATTTTCCTGACTGAAAATTTGATTTTATAATAAAATATGTTTACAATAAAAAGATACTTCTTGTGTAAATAGCATGAAATATAAAATATGAACATATTATAAATAGTAGTACTTTAAGCCAAAAAAATTGAGTCACATAATTAAAGGCAAATTTTTAAATGCATTCTTTTAAATGGAAATTCTTCATAGAAATTAAACTTTTCAGACACTACAGTAATTGTTTGAACACTAAAAATGACAAAAATGTGTGCAAAGTGCCAAATCTGTTAGTGACAATCACTATGGCCTTGACCTAATTTTTACGCTAAATTACCATCATTAATTTTTCTTAAAATCACCATAATTTAATCACAGAAATTAAAAGAAAAGATTTAAGAATTAAAGTTGAGATCATCAGAATTGTTCCTACTGAACTAATCAACAATTTTTGTATAAAAGAGCATGCCCGTATCTAACTTATTCTAGAAATTATTTGCAGCACAATACAATTTCATTCTACAAATTATAAATAAATACTTTTTAGAAAGCAATTTAAAATAATTTTAACAGAATGTGTAGCTAGTGAATTGTAAAAGATCAATTTTCTTTTCTTTAAAAACTTGTCTTTCTTTTTAATTCCAATATGTACGGGGTTTTATTTGTGTTAGAATGATACCGTCTGCACATCAAGGTCAACTTCAAATACAAGTTGATGTGGTGCATATGTTAGTATGCAATATATAACCTTGTAAGTATAATCATAAAAGACGTGTTTTTATAACTTTAAAATTAAATTACAGGTTTACCCGCAAATTATAAAGATAATTGCCTACTGTGTATTGTTTCCTTACAGTCCTGGATTATTGTTTACTCCTTTTACTAAAATAGCAAGACTTATTTTGGTACAAAACTCACTTGGAATTCATCATTGTATATTATACAATTAGATTCACAAATTAATTATAATTTCTTAAAACTAAATGATAATTTTAACATTACCAGTGGATTGAAAAATGTAATATTATTATTTGATATAATTATAAATATTTTTAAGTAAGTGTAATTTGGAGAATTTGGATATATAAAATATTAAATATATCAATATAATTAACACAGAATAATTTGTAACTTGAAAATATGTTATAAAATATGAGTAAAATGACAGTATAAGTTGAAGGCTCCATATGTGCACCAATAAGCAGGAGCCACTCCGAGATCAGTGGACAATCTAGGTCTTCGTTTCTCTTTCTTTTTATTTATATAAATGCTTGGCAGTCTATATCAGGTAAAGCTGCAATATGTGGATCACCTGTCAAAATACACATGTTAAATATTAACACACAAAAAAATGCAGCTGTGTCGACCTGTCAGAGTAGAAGTTTCAGTTAAATAGTGCGTGCATAGAACATAATTTGTAACTTAAAGAGCTTACATTAAGTAATCAGTTGTGTCTTATGTTTAGAGATTTTTGAATCATCTCATATTGTACAAAAATACAATATGTCTTAAATTCTAATACAACAGTTAAATAATGATATTTAAATTCATTTTAAACTAAGAA